GATGCTTTGGCGTGTGTGTCCTTACAGTGAAAGTTGCATGTGTGTTGGAGGAGAGATTTTAGGCATATGTGGTCTGTGACGGAGCTGAAGCAAAAAAACAAAATAAAAGGCATTTGAAATCAACCAGTGGCTGGTGGCATGCAGTCTCTCTCTCTCTCTCTCTCTCTCTCTCTCTCTCTCTCTCTCTCTCTCTCTCGGGACTCCTATTCATAATAGGTCATCTGGGCTTGTACTCGGCCTTCTGCTCGCTTTTGCACTCATATTGTCTCTTTCATTGCAGTATTAATATGGAGGTAATTGTGATTGGGTTTCAGTATTGTGTCAAACTTCTGCTTAACAAGAGGCAGTCCTTGAAAAGTTTCGAACATTGCAGAAGGTGAAATGTGCCATCCTGAATCTGCTTTCCGGGCTAAATTACACTGATTCTATGTCAGTTGCACTGTACCTGTTTTGTTTCCCAGCCCAGCGCAAGGCCAGGTGGAGCCCGGAGATCCAAGAATTGCCCCCTCCAGTATGAACCTGCTTTGGGGTCCGACCATCTCTGCTTCTAAGCCGAAGAGCCAGCGATGCAAGGACCCCTGAATGAAAACAGAGCAAAAATGTAAAAGACGAAAATTACAAGAACGCTGTTCAGAGTCCTGTGCCCAAAGGAAGCACGAGGAATGGGACTAGGAGACAGGATCCGTGTCCATGTGCCAATCTGGGAATTTCCTTCCAAACGAGATGAAAGTAGGCAAGCTAGAAATGGGCTAAAGGGAGCTGGGGTTGTGACACAGTGTGGTGAATTGCACCAAGAACGGTGCTTTCCCCGCTTCCTCTGCCAGTAGAACGTCTCTTTGGCAAGGGGTTTTGTCAGCCAGGGGTGAAGTTTCGGCTAGGACTTCGCCCCGCTCAGGTGAAACTTTGTATATTGTTTACCCGTGGAGACCCTACCTCCTAGCTCCTTTGTAACTCAGGTAAGATGATCTGTATGGAGATCAAGGGGAGAGGGGGAACTAATGTCTGTTTAGGGATTTAGCCAGAGTCCCTCGTCAACGTTATTTACTTGCCAAGACATCTGCGAAAGCGAACACCAGACTTCTGCACTGCAGGTGGGAGAATGGGACTCCCGTGGCAATGGGGGTGGAGGTGCAGAGCCAGCGAAGAGCCTTCTGCTAATGCACCTTATCAGTGAAGCCTTTGAAGTCTATCCTAATCTGTTCTCCAGTCTCCCGTGTGCATAACCTCCCTTCTGGGGCTCTGAGGCTGTTTTTACGCCAAAGCACAAAGCAAAAGGGCAGCGGGTTGCTGTTAGAACAACAAGCAACCTCCTTCTCCTCTCCAAGAAGGCTGGGCCTTGGATCGGTGGGAAGGAGCCAGCAGTTTCCCTTGATGCGGAAGCGGCACGGCTGGGCCCTCGACGGGGTCCCGCTGACAAGAGCACCTGGCCTTGCCTCGCCTCTGTTCTTGCACCTTCCTTGTTCACCCACCTCTTGCTCCGGCTCAGACAAGAGGGATGGTGGGGTCTGAGTGGCGGGGGACGCACCCCTCAAACCTCGGGTGGAAGGGGACGGCGGCAGCCAGTGTCTCCCCCAGTGAGCAGGCAAGCTCACGGATGGGACCACGGAAGGGGCCCTGCCCAGTGGCCCGACAAACCTTGGAAAGGGCACTGAGCAGCGTCCCCGAGCATAAACACATGCTCGTACGTACATACCTAGGTATTCATATACGTATCCGAATTTGCTCCTCACAGAAGTTTGTCTAAGAGCTCTGCAATAAAAACCACAATCAAGTGCAATTCTAGAAGGAAAATAGTGCCAAGACCACATGCCTAACTCACCGCACCTTCAGAATCATTTCAGAGAGTAGAACAGGCAACTAAATGGCATGGTTTTAAAATCGGGCCTCCTTTTCCATCAACTACAAAAGGAAATCTCCTTTCATTAAAAATGCCACTGAGAAGAAAAGGGCCTTAACCGAAAAGAAAACTGCGCAGGGCGGAGACGAGCCTCTCCAGGCCCTTCTGTTACGTGATCGTGTCTCTTACACCTCATCCTGGAGCAGCAGGGACTTTTCTGCCCAATTCGTTCAGGAGCAAAAGCTAACTGAGGCGTTTGTGTTCATGACGTGCCAGGCAGACCTCGCATTCGTTCAGAAAACACCCGTTTGTGCCCGATCACGGAAGTGGAAGCAGAGATGGCCAAGCGGGCGCAAGCCGGACCCCTCTCCCAGGACCGAGCGGTCAGTTGCGAGCGGACGCTTTAGCCAGTGGGGCTGCCACGAAATTTGGGGCATGCCCAAGGCCCAGGTTTAATCCCTGGCGTGAGGACCCTCGGCATGCCTGCAGGAGAAATTGTCCTAACGTGTCGGGGCAGTGTCTCCTGCGGGAAAGGAAACTGAAGAACATTAACTCACGCTTCCGGAGCCCATGCCGAGCCGAGCCGAGCCCAGGCCACAGTGGACGGGCAGGCCCAGCTGCAGGGGGACCCGTTGCCGTGTCACCCGCCGTCAGGACACAGGAGCACGGAGGCCGCATCCTGCTTCCGAGGCGCTTGCCATGTCCTCTTTGGAGAGCAGACTCGGAAACCCACGGGCCACTGCAGCTGAAAGAAAAATTGGTCTCACTCCATTTCACGCAGGCCATAATGCTCATTGTTGGAGCTGCCTGCGAATTCTCCTCTGCGTCCGTTTATTGAGTAGCGAGTGGGAACAAGGCCTGCTTGTCAAGCGGCTGGAGACCTCCTCTCTGAATTATGAAATCAGAGCTTGGTGGCAAGCATGCGGCAGCCAATTTCTTGGAAGTAAAACTGTGGGTACGGTGGCCTTTTACCCAAATAAAAACGGCAAGGCTTGCTGAAGCGACTGCGGGGGGGGGTTGCTGTCATTGTCGGGCGACGTAAAAGGCTGAAGGCGAGCTTCCCACATTTAGCAAAGCAGGGGCCTCGGCAGTCGCGAATGGGGGCCGGCACTCGCTGGCGACTGTCCAATATGCGTGCGATTGTCGCTCAGAAGATTTTGTTAACAAGCGCCAGCCGCGGCTAACAAAACTCTAAAAACCAGTCTTTTCCCTTGACCCGAGTTTCTTCTGCCAATGTGCTGGAAAGGTCAAGCAACTAGGGAAAAAGCAACCTTTCTATCTCTGTAAAAGTTGGAATGATCCATGCAATGCGTTGGAACCCTGATGAGGGATCAAGGCATAGGCTGTGGCAGTGCTAGATTAAGGGCACCAACCTAAGCCGGTTTGGACAGAAAGCAAGGTTGCCTGGGAATGCCAAGCGTCGCCGTCTTTTTTCTATGGGGTTGCGTCCTTCGCCGAGTTATCCGAGCTAATTGTGCTCCAGTGCTCACTCTGAGCAAGTATTACACAAATTTTGGGATGCTTGCTGTGGTACTTTGTTTTAAGGTGGATTTAAAAACATCGATCTAATTGTGTGCATGCGAATGGATGAAGGGGGTTTATTGATTACTGAATAACGCTTGGGAAGGAAGGGTTTTTTTAAGTCGAGGAGGAGGAGATGGAAATTCTAAGGAATCTACCCTAGTGTGGCTGCAGATTCATCTTTTGTGAAACATTATTTCAACGTTCTTTGTAACTGCTACTATAACGTAATCAAGCCCTGTATTTTATTTATATTTAAGTTCTTCCCCTGGTTGTTTGAATGGTACGAAATAAAATGTTGATACACGCTCTGAAAAACAAAAGCTTTTTGCTCCATGCTTGAGCGATAAAAGGCTAAATTCAGTCCAGGGGTGCAGTGCTTGGACTGAAGGATGGAATATAGGAAAATACGACGGCTGCGGAGCTATTACAACCAGGCTCCAGGGCGCAGGTTTTCAGCTGAGAAGGTGCGAATTCCACAGGCAAAGCTGCAGGGTCTGGCGTCCCCCAACCCTTTCTTTTTAGCAGATTGAATGTGGGTTGCAGCTCGGCGCAGCTGCTCCCGCAGGCTCCTTCCAGGGGCTGCCAGGTTGCCCTCAGAGCCTTTCGGGCCTGCATGGGGAGCCCCCGCAGGAGCAATTGCAGCCTCGCTTCCCGCCCCCCCCCCCCCCGCTTCTCTTGCCATGGAGGGGCATCGTCCGGGGCCCTCGCTCTGCTCCGGCTCCCCCCCAGGCTGCTGCACGGATTCCAGGCGCACTCCGTCATCGCTCTTCTCTGCCTGAGTGAGAATCGGAGAATAAAAGGCCTGGGAGCAGGAGAAAGGCTTGCCGGCTGGGCAGTGCGATGCACAGCGCATTCCCCGGGTCACGTGGCGCAGGGATGTGGCTGAGCCGGTGGCTCCTGCAGAGCCTTCCCTGCCCAGAACGGAGCGTGGCAGGGAAACGGGCACAACGGAGGCCCCGGTGGCCGGCCAGGAAAGCGCTGGTGGCTCACGCAGGGCAGGGGGTACGGGAGAGGCGGTGGGGCCAGAAAGAGGAGGGCAGCAAAGCCTGGGGGGGCGACCCAGTAGCCCCAAGCAAACCGGTGAAATGACGCCCTTCCACTGACGCTCCATGGAGGCCCGGAAGCCCTTCCAGGAGGCAGAGCGTCTCTGGACACCACGCGAGCCGCAAGTTAGCATTCTGCCTTCTTACACCGCAGCCCCCACTAAGACACAGGGCTCTGCGAGCCCCCTCCACACCCAGCCCCCATTCCGAGCACATGAAAATGAAGAGAGGGAATGGCCCACCAGGAAATCAGGCCAGCGACCGGGGGGGGGGGGGGGAGGGGAGGCTGCCCAGAACTCCTCTGGCCTGCAAGGGAGCAAAGTGGAACCAAAAGCAACCGGCAATCAAAGTGCGTTGCGATTGTGGTACAGAATTAGCGGCTGCCACCCCTGCACATCTTCCTGGAGCTTCTCCTCCGAGCTTCGGCCGTCCCCTTCCTCTCCTCCTGCCCTGGCGCGAGGCCGTCCCCAGCCTCCCGTAGGAACGACTGCCCACCGTCCCGATGGTCCTTGCAATGGCGCCAAAGCCTGCGCGGCCGTGCTGCGGGAGCCCCCCGGGGCCTTCCACTAACCCAGCCCTCCTCTCCTTCCTCCCAGGACGCACCTCGTGCGAGCAGCTCAGCGCCTGCGCTTCCTCCCCGTGCCAGAACGGGGGCACCTGCAAGGATCTGGAGGACGGCTACAGGTGCCTCTGCCCACGGCAGCCCCTCGTGCTCGCGGGGCGGGACTGCGAGCGCCTGCACAACCCGTGTGCCGCAGACCCCTGCCCGCCTGAGTGGGCGTGCCAGGGGGCCCCCGGCAGCCTGAACTACACCTGCCACTGCAGGCCCGGCTCGTGCGGCCCCGGCGGGGACCACTGCCAGGCCGGCCCCTGCCCGCCGCCCCCCTTCGCGTGCGTGGAGATCCCGGACGGCTTTGGCTGCGGCTGCGCGGGCGGCGAGGGCTGCCCGGCCGGGCCGTCGCTCTGCGCCAGCCAGCCCTGCCACAACAACGGGACCTGCGTGGAGGGCGCCGGAGAGTTCGCCTGCCGGTGTCAGCCGGGGCACGCCGGGGCCCGCTGCGAGGAGGAGGTGGACGAGTGTGCCTCGGGCCCCTGCCAGAACGGGGCCATCTGCCTGGACCGGCCGGGCGCCTACAGCTGCTTCTGCGTGCCCGGCTTCCAGGGCCATCGCTGCGAGATCGACATCGACGAGTGCGCCTCGCGGCCCTGCCAGCACAGCGGCTCCTGCCTCAACCAGAGGGACCACTACGCCTGCCTGTGCCCGCCCGGATACGCAGGTACCCGTCTGCCGGCCCCTCGATCCCGGGCGGCCCTGCAGGGCCCGGCCAGGTGGCCCCTGGCCCCCCATGGCTGGCCGTGCCGGCGAGGGCTGGCGGAGAGGGGCGCGCCCTGGAGGCTGCACCCCCCGTGCTTTGGCCACCTCGTGCGTGGCTTGCTTGAGGGCTGGGGGGGGGGGGCTCTGCTACTGCCCCGGCGTCCCCAAAACGCATGGTGCCAAAAATATTAGTTGCAAGCCAAGTTTGCCCTACTTCCTCCCCTCCCCCTCCCGCCACCATGCTGTGGCCTGAAGAGCCGGGGGGGGAGGGCCTACGGGGAGCCCCCAACCCCCTCGTTGCTCCAAGGCTCGGCTGCAGGTCAGCGTGTTGGTTATCGCAGCCGCTTGGCAGCCACGTGCTGCTTGCGTTGGCCGCTCTCTCTGGCTTAATGTGGCTCCAACGCAAGCTTTGTTTTCTCGGACGACGAAGCGCAGGGAGCCACGGAAGTTCCCAGAGAGCAGCCACGGTCAGGATGGAGACCGCAAATGCTCGGGCGGGTAGTGAATTCCGTCCAGCCCGTGCTCTGCTCTCACTTCTCCTCCCCGGCTCAGCCGAGCCCGAGGCTTTCTCTGCCGGTGACTCGCGCCATCCCCGGCTCGCTCCACCTGCCTGCCCTCTGCTGAAGCAGCAGCCACGGGGGGCTTTCCTCCACCCCCGAGCCCTAGCGTGAGGGTGGGAACTCAGCCTGCGTGCGCCCACCCCCACCTGGCACCGGCCGGCACGGAGACACTTCCTGGCCTTGCTCATCCCGTGGGCCCTGCAAGAGTTGCGCTGCTGCGAAGGAATGTCGGGATGCAACGTCAGGTGCCTCTCGCCTGTTCTTAGTCACCGCACAGCGCCGTGTGGGAGGCCGGGCCGCTCGGCAGTGGAATTTCTGCTCGATCAGAGAGAGCAGCCGAGGAGGGGAGAGCGGCATGGGAGCAGGCGAGGGATGAGCAAGGCGTCCGGGAAGCCAGCGAGCGCCCCTGCCTTCCTTCACTCCCCTCCGGCGGGTTCCAAGGTCCTTTGTTTAACTCCTCCAACCTCCAAAGGCCCCGGAGGTGACTAACTGAAACTGGAATGTGCCACAGGGACCAGGCTAAATGGGACAAATGCCAGAAAACTGGACGAGCCCCTCGTCCCGCGAGAAGCCTTCGTCCCGCAATCAGCCCCTCTGCTCATCGACGGTGGTCCAAAGGAGAAATGCCTTGCGCCAAGCGGCTGGCGTGGCTTGTGCTCCGCAGAGGGTTCTTGGCACCCACAGCTGGGGCAAGACACATCCAGCCGAATTCCATCAGCCCCGGCCAGCACAGCCGGTGGTCAGCAACTCTGAGCCTTGTAGTTCAACAACTCTCCAGGGGCCAGGAGAGCAAAGGCTGCCTCGGGACACGAGGCGTTTAAATATATTGCAGTTAAGGGCTGAGATGGGACGAGAACGCAGCTTATGTATCGCGGCATCTTTTGGGAGGGTCGGGGGGCAGCTCTGGGGGATGCGAAACTGCAGCAGCCCCTGCGGCTGGAAGGTGTTGATACCTGTAGCCCAGGTGCGGCTACCACTGACCTTCCACAACTTGGGCAATGACAGCATGCAGTGGAGGGCAGGCGGAAGGGCTTGCCCCCACACGTCCCTGGCCCCCCACAGACTCAGCCAGCTTTCGCCATCCAGATGTGCTCCCCCCGGCGCGAGGAGCAGGCCTCGCTCCACCCCCCTGCCCCCCGGAGCACCCCCCAAGACAGGGTCTGGGCTTCAGTCAGCCCAGCCCTGAGGAACATCACCGTTCCGAAGCGATCCAGGAAAGGGCAGAGCACGCGACCCCCGTCCTTCCGGACTGCACCTCTTTCCTGGCGCTTGGGGGAGCGAGCGGTACAGAGGTCCTGGGGCTCCTGGCCTGTGCCGAGTGAGGGAGGCTCAGATAATGCAACTCAGCCGTTGCAATCCTGAGTGTCACTCTGGGCAGGAAGGTGGGGTAAAATAACGACTGAGAAATAAATCATGCCCTGTACAAGTGCATCTGCTATCCAGAATTGCGGTCATACGGACGCGACTCGCTGGGTTTCAGTCCTGCTGCAGGTGGGCAGGCCACCCCCCCCTCCCTCGGCCACCGTCCTCCGCCTCTGAATCTGGAACGGTGCCGGGAGGCTGAGGCAGTTCTGTTGGGACTCTGATCTGGACCTTCAGCCCCATACTTGCAATGGGCCATGGGGGCATCGCACTCTCTCAGACCCATCTGCACGCTGGGGGTTAACGGTGTCGGATTGTCACAAGGACGAAGCGCTGGGCCCTTCCCAACGGCCGGTGAGCCCGACACCCGCTTCTCTCCCTGCTGACGAAGGTGTGAACTGCGAGGTGGAGATCGACGAGTGCGAATCGGCCCCCTGCTGGCACGGCGGCACCTGCCGCGACCACGTCGGCTTCTTCTCTTGCTCCTGCACGCCGGGCTACGAGGGGCCCCAGTGCGAGGTCGATATTGACGAATGCCACAGCCAGCCATGTCTGCACGGAGGCACCTGCCAAGACCTTGCCAACAGGTGAGCGGCTGGGGGGGGGGGGGGGGGGCCGGGGGGCGCTCTCCCATTCTTTTCAAACATCTCTGGTTCATGCCTGCACTGGGGGCCTGCAAGGAAACCTCGCCTCATGGAGCAGTCCAGGTAAGAATTCCGGTCACTTGGTTCCTTCTCTCCTCGTACCAGGCTTCCCTCTCGCCAGGTGTCCCATTGGGCTGCTTTGGGAGAGGGGACCCCTGATTTTTAAAAATGGTTATCTCTGCAAACTTTGGGGCCCACCCATGTCTGCTCACATGGCCTTCTCCGGCGTGCGGGCTGGGAACGTTGGCTGTGTTGCCGTCCAAGACGTCTGAAATGCTGAAGAAATTGACACGTGAAGTCGAAAGAGAGCGACAACATCCGGGCTGGTCTGCCTAGGTGGCTAGCAATGCATCCTAATCCCGAGCGCTTCTCCTCCTCAGCTTCCAGTGCGACTGCAGCGCCACCGGCTTCGAAGGGCCGACCTGTGAGCTGGATATCCTGGAATGCGCTTCCCAGCCCTGCCAGAACGGCGCCACCTGCCTGGAAGGTGTTGGGCTCTACAGCTGCGCTTGCTGGCCAGGTGGGTGAAGCCCTCGCGGCACCGGGCCGGAGATTCCTGGAGCCATTTTCCTGCTTGACAGAAAGCCTACACTTCTTTACCTTCCCTGAGGTTTTCGGTAAAGTAAAAAAGGTCCCCCAACATAGCCAAGGGGTTGCCTTTTGCCTCTTCGACGCTCAGTGCCCTTTGCAAAAGGGTTTCTAAGATAGGTGCCATGTTCAAGTCCAGTTTCTGGTCCCAGTTTCTCATCAGAAGCGATCTTGAAATGAGTGGAGCCGGCTGGAGCCGGGGGTCAGACTAGATGGCCTCGGAGACACCTTCTGACTTACTGTTTCTATGTTTCTGTGATGCATGAGGTACCGTCTTGTGCGCTGGCCATACATCTCAGTTCTGAACGTTCCTTCCAGGATGTAAGAGGCTTTCCTGTGGCATCACTTTCAAATTCATGGCCTTCCACCTCATATCAGACCTTACAAATCCACACCACAGACTTATCCAGTTTGCCTTTCTCTCTTCTCGGCACTCTCTGGGAAATTTAGTTTTGGAGTGGGGAGCCAGTGCTTAGAGGGCGAGAGTAAATTTCCCCCAGTCTTGCTTGCTTTTTATCCATATTTTTAGCCTTCTCTAGAAAATCTGGGGAGAAAGGAATACATTTCAACCAAATCCAAGGGGACTTGCTCCTGGGAAGTTCTACTGGTAAACTATTAGTGGAGATACTAGAAGTGCCAGAGAACGCTGCTACTACCAGTAGTAAAGGAGCAGTAGTCATCATCATCATCATCATCACCATGCCCGTCTTTATCCCGCTCGAAAGAAGCTCAAGGGACTTGCTTGGTCCTCCTCTCCATTTTATTGTTAGAACGGTTCTGTGAAGCAGGTTAATTTGAAATCCATCCCGCGTCGCCCAGCGAGTTTCACGGCTCAGTGGAGGCAACAGCCCACACCTCCTGAATTCCAGGCCAGGCCTGAGCCCCAACGAGACACGGGCTTGTGACTGTCTTCCAGTATTTAGCTAGTTAAGCCGCTTTGTCTCCCACCTGGACGAGGCGTCCAAAAGCGACTTCCAAGCAGTGGGACAGTCTCTCTGCTGTCAGACTTAAAATCTAACAGATGCGATGAGAGGAGGAGGTGTTGGAAAGAAGGGAGAGCAAGAGAGGGAAGCGAATCTCGGCGGCAACCCTCCTTCGCGTCTTTGCTCTCCGCTCCTAGGGTACCTGGGCCCGCACTGCGAAGACGACGTGGACGAGTGCGCCACGCGGCCCTGTCTAAACGGCGGGCTGTGCTTGCAGCGGTCCAACCAGAGCTACTACGGGGAGCAGGCGGACTTTCCAGAGCAGTTCAGCTACCAGGGGGCCGCGGGATTCCTCTGCAGATGCCGGCCCGGCTTCGAGGGTGAGTCACGCGGTACCAGCAGAGCGCCGTCTTCTGCCTGAGCGCCCCGCGGCAATGCTCGACAGAGCGAGGTGCACGGAGAGGGGCCTGGGAGCTCCGGCTGGGTTTGCAGAATCGCCCGGAAACAGAAACCACATGTGCCCGGTCGCCCTCGCAGCCTGCAGACGGCCGGCTGTCCAGACCCAGCGAGGCCCACAAGCCGCGTGTTCGGGGCTGTGGGAAGCCACCCCTGCTGCAGACCTGGCTGGGTTTGGACAGCGCAGCAAGCCGTGCTTCTTGGGGGTCCTTAGGCAAATCGGCGGATCAGGAATGGGCTCATGGAGCAAGGAACACGTGATCCTTGTTGATTTGGAAAATCACACGGCTCTTGATTTGCCTTTTCATTTTTTTAAAAAACCATACCCCAATCTAGTAATCAGAAAAGTTCTAAGTTATAATCTTAGAACTTCCCAAGAAATTTTTTTTTCTTCATTAAGAAAAAGCCTCATGAATACAAACATATAAAAAGCCTTCTTTAAGCAGGTGCCTTGCAGACGGCGTGATGGGCATTGTAATCCAACACAAAGGGAAAGTACCAGACCCCCCCCCCTGCTATTTTTTCACAACTGGTTAAACCTCCTTTGTTCTGGCAAGACTGTCTTGCTGGGCAGAAATACTTCAGAATGTTTTGCTCTGTCCAGCTTGTTTCCATTTTCATTCTGCTGTTATATTCACATTTGTGGAGTGGTTGTTTTTAATTGCCTTACGCCACGCGATGTGGTATAAATGCGTCGGACATACTAGTGTGAGCGTGTTTCCTTTACGTCTCAAACACAGAAGAAGAAGAAAAAAGCTCACCCAAGAAGGGCAGCTAGAAGTAGTTCACCAAATACATGTTTATATCAATTAAACTGACCCGAACGGAGAGCCATCGTTTAAAGAAAACTTATGTAACTAGTGAAGCCAATTAGCCGTAGAGCATAAAATCAATGGGCAGCATGGAAGGTCTAACCTGATATAATCTCGATGGCTTTGAAGGAGAGCGCTGCTCCATCGACGTCGATGAATGCATGTCGCAGCCATGCCAGAACGGAGGAAGTTGCGTAGACCTGGAGAACGGCTATCGCTGTCAGTGCCTGCCGGGCTTCTCAGGTAAGGGGGAAGCGGAAAAGCTGCCATTCCCAGGAAGCGGCATCCCGGCCAGCTTGCAGGGTGCCGGCGGGCAAACAGCCCCCGCGGCCTCGTCGCGTTCCCGCGGCCTCGCCCTTCGCCAGCTTTAGGTTCCCGGCTGGATATGCCATCTTGCAGGAGGTTAATGCTAACTCTGTTAGAGCTGTGCATTTGCTCTCTCTCTTTGTGGCACCACCACATCTTACGTTGCGCTGCTGACCCGTGCTTGGCCCTGTCTTGCCAAAGGACATCTTTCCATCCTTTGGCTCAGGACGTGGGGCACCGCTGCCTCCACCAGGCCTCGCCAGGGAGTCTCCAGCGTGTAACGGAACGATCACCGAAATCGCACTTTGCACACGAACCGGAGGACAGACTAGTGCTCCTCCTGCCCTCTAGGTGGGCCAGCTCGGAGCATCCCCCGGTCGGCTGGACGGTCCGGGGGGGGCAATGGCAGCATCTCCGGCAGGCCTGCCCGGGGCGCTGCCACAGGCTCTGCTCCGCTCTTCCCTCCCGGGCGCAAGACGGGCCCGAGCGGCTTCCCCATCTCTGCCCCGGGCAGACGGCCTCGCCACCAGCCCACGGAGCTCTCGTCCAGCACCTCATCCTACTCAAGCTCCCAGGTTCCACAGCGCCCGGCGAGCTCAGCAGCACTTCCTGGCGTGCTGTGAGGCTGCCATCTTGTGGGAGAAAACCAAATCTGAGCCGGTGCGCCGCTCACGCGTTTTCTGAGCAGCAGCAAGCCGTTCGATTGCAGGCACTTTCGGTGCTCAAGGGTGGCTCGGTTCTGCCATATTCAAGCATGGCAGGAATGAAGAGGGTTTCTGACCATGTGCAGAGTGTGTGTTCCCAACACTAGTCATGGTGGCCTCCCTCCCAACAGGCAGCCAGCATTCTCGGCTCTCATTTGCCTGTTTTGGGTTTCCTTTCCTTTAGGGTCTCCACACATTCATGTTGGCTTGCTCTCCGCAGAGGTTGTTCGCTGCGCAACTTTGTGGTCCCTGTGCAAATGTTCAGACCCCCCCGGGCCTGCCGAAACCGCCTGCTTGTGTGTGTGTGAGGCGCCATTAAGTCTGGACAAGGGGCTCTTCCCCGACATCCAGGATGGGGCGACCCTGCTCATACAAAGCCCTCAGCACCACGTTCGCACTTACGTGGCCTCAAAGCAGAGGGGGTGCCCCCCCCAGGGCAGAGCAGGGCGATGGGCTGGGGATCCAGGTTCTGGTCCCCAGATGGCCATGAAGCTGGCTGGATGACTTTGGGGCACTCGTGCCCTCTCCGCCTGGCCTACCTTGCAGGGCTGTTGTTGTGAGGAGTACTAGCCTTGGCTCCTGCCCAAGCGAAAACAGGCCGGCTAGAAGTGCAGTGCCGTCCTGACCCTCCTCTTCTTACAGCCGCACTTAAAAATGCTCTTCAGGGAAATCGGCCCGTGTTAGCCTGGCCTCACCTCCTGCTCGCGGGCATCCCTTTGGGCATGCGGCCAGTCCTCATGGAGGCGGTGGCTTTCGCCTGGCCCAGCGGGGCTCTTCGTGTGGCCTGCGGGCGAGATCCGTGGAAGGCTGGGCAGGTCTGGCTCCGAAAGTCTGGAGACGCAGGAAAGGACCGCAGAGGTCCCTGCTGGGCAGGCGTGAGAGCCCCCCCCCGACACTGGGGGAGCCACTTTAAACCAAAGGGGCCCAAAAGGAAGCCTGCACCCCGCTTTCCTGCACCTGGAGTCCTTCCCACCCTGTGACTCGGGGCCAGTTGGTGCTTTGCACGTGTTTGGGGGCGCGGGGGGGAAGCGGAATCCAGTGGCGACTTCTTCTAGGTCGCACAGAAGGCTCTGGCTTGCACGGGACGGGGTGGGGGGGAGGGAGGGGGGCAGGGGGCTTCTGCTCGGGCCCTGGGGGCAGGCGGGGGAGCCGGCGCTGGCAGGGCTTGGAGGGAAGCGTGAGAGTCCGCGCGGTGGAGCCGGCAGGGGAATAATAGCGGTTAATCCCGCCTGCCACGGCCATTCATCCTGGTCTGGCCCTGCTGTGTAAACAGCTTATTACTTCGCGTTAGCATCAGCGAGCGGCTTCCGGGAGCATGTGCCGAGTGCCCGTTGGGTTTCTCTGTGGAGGCGCTGGCCGGCCATGGCGTGGGGGGGGGGTTGCTGGATGAAAGGCAGCCCCCAGCCCGCCCTGGGCAGTCCCCGCTCTGTTCTTGGCACGTCGGGGAGGACGGGGGGAGGGCCGGGGGGGGGGCAACCCTTGGACCAGCCTACGGTCGGGTGGGCACTCGGGCGGTTGTAGCCCGGGCGGGGTGGGGTGGGGGGTGGGGGGGGGGGTCCAGATGTGCAGAACGCCCGCAACTGCAGCGTGGCACCCCCACACACCTGGGGGGTCCCTGTTTTGTGGACTTAGCTGTGCCGGAATGACGCCGGTCTGGGGGCAAGGGTGGCCCCCAAACTGCATTGTGGGGAATCCGGGCTGCAGCCTGCCTCCCGGCCCCTGAGCACTCTGCCGGGCCCTCGGCTCCCTCTCCTGCACACCTGCAGCATGCGGCGCGTCTCGCTTGCTCGAGCGACCTGCAGCTGCTTGCACTTTGCTGCTGGCGCTCTGCTGGGCTCACGGGAGGCCCGCCAAGACTGTCCCGCTGGTCTGCGACGGGAGACGGGGTCCAAAGACGCGCCGCTGTGCCGATGGGGGGAGCCTGCTGTGTGCAGGTGTCTCCGGCTGCACCCCAGCCCCACACCTCGCTCGGGAGGGTTGGGCCGAAGCGTTGTGGCTGCCCCGGCACTCGAGCCTTCAAGAGCCAGTCTCGCAGACGCGCCGTCACACCTCAGAAGCGGCCGCCGCGTTCTCCTTTCCTGCTTTTAGGGCGAGGGCCGATCTCAGCCAGAAAGAAAAGCCACTTTTCCGCCTGAGTGCGGGAAACAGAACCGGTTCTGTTCCCACCCTTCCGAACTCGCAGTACCTGCCCTAAGGTACCGAAGCTGCTGCTCTGCACAGCCCAAAGCTGCGTTCTTTCAGAGGGCTGGGAGTGCAACTCCCATCATCTCTGCAGAGTGGCAGGTCGGAGAGGGCTGCCTTCGTGGCCTCTGGGGAAGATGAGGGGCGGCCGACTCGCGGATTTCCAGCTTGTGTCCCCCCCAGAGTGGGAGCCGAGTGCCCCCTTCACGGAGAAGGTGGGCGTCTTTGGGGAGCCGGCGTGCGTGACCGGCACGCCCATCCTCCCCGGCGTGGAGGGGGCCGGGAAGCAGCTCCTCCAAGCCCGGGGAAGGCATGGCTTTCCCGGGCGGGGGTCCAGGGAGACCCCCACGTCAGCCCGGGACAGGCGTGGGGCTGGTGGGCTTCCGGCCTCCCTCGGCAGTGGGAAGGACGAGGGCAGGGGCCGCCGGGAGAGGGGAGGGGGCCTGCAGGGACGGGCGCTGGGAGCACCCCCCCCCCCGCAGGGGAGGCGGAAGGCCAGCATTCCTGTCAGCCGTGATAGGAGCCAGCTGGGAGCTTTAGCGCCGAGCTGGATTAGACCTCGCTGCCGCTGCACCGCTCACTTCGCTGCGCCTCCGATCCCTCTGCCTGCCTGGCACCACAGCACACGCCCGCGGCCGCCCAGCCCTGCGGAGCGGGGCCCACGCCCGCCCCCGGGACCCCCCCCCCCATGCCTGCAAGGGAGCAGCCATGAACGCCCGGCTGGTCGGCGTCCTCGTGGGGGGCATTTATCTCCTGGCAGGTAATCGCGGCCAGCCCATCCCGGCGGTGGGGTGGGGTGGGGGTCGCAGGGGTGGCACCGCTGCGGAGAGGAGGGGAGAGTGCCTTGCGGGGGGGACTGCCTGGGGAGGGATCTGCCTGCCGGTCTCGCTCGGAGAAAGTTTCCTTCCCGCCCCACTGCGAGGGTCTGTGCCCCTGTCGGTGGCGCGCAGAGCTGCGCCTCCCCCCCCCATGTGATGCTTCTCTTCCCAGCGGGGGGGGGGCTCCTCTTTCCTCCCAGCGGTGGAAACCGGGAAGCCCCAGCACCCGGGGCAGCTGCGTCTCGCTCCTCCGGGACCCCCGAGCCGAGCCGGCCGCCTTCTTTGGGGGCCTGCCTGAAGGCGAGGGCCGGAGAGGAGCGGGCGCGCACGGCTGTGGGAACGGCCGGAGTGAGGCTGCTAATCCCCAGCTTTGCCTCTCTCGGATGGTAGTAGACATTTTAATTAGATTACGCTAAGGGCATGTCAGGAGGGGAGGAACACGGCCCTGCCCACGGGGAAGCTGGCCAGGGCCCTGGCGGAGGCGGCCCTGCAGGTCGGGGGCTCTCCGGCAGAGGGCTGGCCCAGCCCCACACCTGCCCATTGCGACTGCGCCACAGGCGCTGGCGTCTCTTCCCCCTTCAGACCTGGGGGCCCACCTTGCGGCTGAGGTGTTTCTGCGGCCTGGCGTCTTCATGTTTTACCATGCACTGGTGCGGTGTTGGTTTTGCCGTCGCAGATGGGTTGTGGAGCCAGCTGGGCCTCGTTGGAAGAGCAGCAGCCTAGAGGCTGGAGAGCGTGGGATGGGAAATGTAGTGCCCTGTGCAGAGGCGGTCGTGTCTGCCAGAGATGCTGCCCGGTGCTCTCCTGGAAGCTGGCTGCTGAGGTCCTCGGAAAGGGCGGCTGAGGCTGGGCTGGGCTGGGCTGGGGGCTTCCACCTTGCCAGGCTTTCTTCATCCTGCAGAAGCCCCACCGAAGCCCCACACCAAAAAGACGGTGGCTTAGAATGAGCTGTTCCCAAAGCTGAACGCCGCTCTCACTGCCTGTGCAGAAAGGACCCGTGGTAGTTACTCCGGTGTAATTCAGGGCAGCCTGGCCGTTCGCCTGCGGCACTGCCATGGCTGGGCGATGGGAAGGCCACGTCCAGGCCTGGCCACCATGAGATCCCCCAAGAGGTCCCGGGCTTCCCCGGCCCCCCCAGCCCACTTCCGCCGGAGGCAGCCGGGTTTGCAGCCCCAGGGCGACGCTTCCTGCTGAGCAGGGGAGCAGCCTGTGCCCCCCGAGAGCACCTGCCCAGCGCCGAGCCCCCCCAGTGGCCAAGCAGGTTCCTTGTCCTGAAGGGCAACGCTTCTGACCTCCGCCAGATACGCAACTGCCTTCCTTGGAATAAGAGCCGGAAAGAAGGCACGTTCTCCTTTACCTGTAGGATCCGGGGGCACCTTGGAACCGGCTGGCAGGGTCCTTCAGCATGCGAACGGGTCCAGCCCACACGGAGGACCCCAGCTGCCCCCAAGGCCTCCAGCCACTCGCAGGAGAGCGCCCCTCTCCGAGGACTGCTCCCGCCTGCCTCCCTTTCTGGAAGAGCTTTGAAAAGCTCCGTGCCCCCCCAGGAGAGTGGGCCATTTCCTGGCACGCGCCAGCCCGCCTCATTCTCCCGCCTGCAAAGCCCTAAAGCAAAATCCTGTTATTTCCGGAAAAGCAGAGGCTGCCTTCCTCGAACTCTTTGCCACACATGAATATGCAAACGCAGATGAGCCTGCAAAGTCCTCATCCTCCCCCAAACTGAGGCATCTAAGGTATGAAGCAACCGGGGGCTTTTGCAGGCGCTGTGGGTTCAGCTCCACCCTCCTCTTCGGGGCTTCCTATGTTCCCTTGGCCCACGGAACAACACTGCCAGGTGAATAATGGGTCCCCTACACCTGTGCAATCGCAGGTGCTGGCTGCACCGTGGCTGCGGGGACATTCGCCTGTCCGCTGCCCCACTGCTTGCCGTCTTAACGCCCCCCCCCCCCGAAGTAGCCCTTCCCCAGTCTGATAGCCTCCGGTTGGGGTGAATGATCAGTGCCCACGCAGGCTGGCAGGGGCTGCAGTCACAATCCGCGGGGGAACCCCAGGTGCAGAAGGCTGCTTTGGAGACATGGCTTACTCAGGTGCAAGAAGGCGCGTGGCTTAGGCAAGAGGTGGAAGCGCGGTCTTTGGCACAGCCTGCGCCCGAGCGGGCTGGAGCTCCGGGAAGGGCCTGCCCCGCTCTGCATCTCCCTTCCAGGGCTCCCGCACGGGCTGGCGGAGCCGAGCTTCGTGTCCCGCCTGAGTGGGGTGTTTTCGAGCAGACGCGGAAAAAGGGGCGTGCGGTGCTTTGCTTCTGAAGAAGTGAGCAGCCCTCCTGCTGTGCGCCAGAGCCTTGGCCACGCGGAGGATGGTGATCGGCGTCTTCGCCGCAGAGCCAAACAAACAGGCAGGAATGCAAGCAGCCCCCCTCCCCGGGAAAGCTACTAGCATGGGGATGCACCCACACGACGAGGATTCATTTGCTGTTCAGCACTGGGCGCCTGCCTCGCGGGAACCTCCTGGAGCCGGAGAACTTGTAGGCTCACAGGAGGACGGCTTGGCTCGGCAAGAACGTGGAGGAGGGAGGCCCCCTCGGAGGGGGGAGGAAATATCCTGACGCCCCCCCCCCACAAGTCCCTCTTCCCTCCATCCTGGCACTGAGCGCTTCGGTTGCAAAGAAGGCTCTGTCCAGCAGCTCACGCTTTGGTCCCACACGAGGGCCCCTGCACCCTCTCCAGGCTGCTTCGGTCGAGCGGTACCTAAATGTTTGTCCGCGTCTGCCCCAGAAGGGGCCCAAACCAGCCGGTGCCGAGACCGGAGTAGGTGGCGCTAAGCTGGTTACAGAAGATGCCTCGCTTCCTCCCATGGTTACAAGGAAGGTGTTAAAATGTGAGCGAATGCAGAAGCAGCAGCGACAGCAGCGTGTAAACCCGGAGATTAAATAAAATAGTTGGAAAAAAGCAATAGCAAGGAGAGCAATAATAAAATAGCAGCAGATAAACCAATTCCAGCATCGTAAAAAATCCCAAAGTGGAGAGAAATAGAATGCCTTTAGGTCTAAAGGGAGAGCTAAATGGATGCTCTCCATCCATCCCCAAACAGCCCTCAGCAGACGGATCGGAGACTGCCCGTCCCAATGCAGCCCCATCGCCTCTTTCCATTCCTAACTGGGAACACACGGCTCTTCGGCCGCGGCACAGCCCCCAGTCCCAGCAAGTGGGGCTGGCAGAGCACGGACATTGCCCCAAAGGACGGCGAAGGGGCTTGGCCTACGTGCCCCAGAGAGCAAACCCCGCATTCCCTCACTGCTCCGGTTCCGCGCGGGCCCTCGGCCGGGCGTAATGCTGTTAAGCAAATAATCCCAACTTTGTTTATCTGTGCAGCTGTCTCGGAAGATTAGTGGGGATCTGCGGCGGGGGGCTGGACGGGCAGTGGGCTTCTTCATCGGGGAGGTCTCCTCCTTATCACCCACTCGCCTTTAGCAGTGCCTGAGCGAGCCCGGAGCCCGGCCCGGCCCGGGCGAGGCAGTGGGGCCGTCTTGCTGCCGTGCAGCCCACCCGCGTCTGTGGGGGGTCCCGGGGGGGGGGGTTAGGCTGCATCCCCGGCATCTGACTCCCCCGCCCCTGTGCCCTAGGCGTCGAATGCGCCACGGACGTGGACGAGTGCGAGGGCCAGCCCTGCGAGAACGGGGGCGCCTGCGAAGACGGCATCGCGGACTACCTGTGCCACTGCCTCCGTGGCCCGGACGGCACCGCCTGGGGCGGGAAGAACTGCTCGGTGGAGCTCACGGGGTGCCACGCGCACCGCTGCCAAAACGAAGCCTTCTGCACGCCCACCTACCAGTCCGGGGCCCACGGATACCTGTGCCAGTGCCAGCCGGGGTTCTTCGGCCCCCTCTGCTCCGTCCCCACCACCTTCTCCTTTACGGCCGGCGCGTACCTCTTCCTCAACGTGTCCGCCGGCAACGAGAGCGCCAGCGATGCGGCAGGGACTCCCCCGGCCGGCGTGGCCCTCTGGTTCCGCACCACCCTCCCCGACGCGCTCCTCTTCTTCCGGGGCAGCCGGGCAGAGCACCTGCTCCTGGAGCTGACGGGGGGCCTGCTGCGTGCGGACCTGTTGCTCGAAGGCGCCGCCCTCTCGCTCACCCTGCGGGTGCCGCAGGTGGACGACGGGCGCTGGCACAGGGCTGAGGTCCTCCTGCGAGCGGCCCTGGAGCTCAGGCTGTGGCATGGCGCCTGCGGAGCAGGGGTCTGCTTCTCCAGCCACCCCCTCGGCCGGGGCGCCCCCGTGTCCCCGCCGGCCTCCTTCTCGCACGTTTACGTCGGAGGAGTCGAAGAGGCGCTGGCGACCGGCCCCAGCAGGAGCTTCCTGGGCTGCTTGCGAGACCTGACCGTGGACGCGAGGGTCGTCCTCCCGCAGGAGGCGGAGGGGCCGCCCGCCTCGGGATTCCAGCTGGGCTGCGAGAGGACCGAGTGGTGCCGCTCCCAGCCGTGCCTGCACGGCGGCCGGTGCGTCGACCTTTGGGCGGCCTTCTCCTGCCACTGCCCGCGGCCGTATGAAGGCCAAACGTGCGCGCACGGTGAGTAACGGGCGGGGGGGGGGCTCCTCTCGGGCTCCCAGCTCGGTACGGCTCGCCACAGGCACGCTTGGGCTCGGGGCCTCTCGACCGTCCAGCAGCGCCCGGCAGGGATGGAGGCACGTGGCCGGAAGAGCTGTCCAAGGACAGTGCCTGGAAGGCTGTAGAGAGTGCCCCGGGGCCCGGTGCCAAGGCCCGGCCCCGCTGGTCCCAGGGGGGGAGGGGGGCTGCGCCCGGCCCGGCGGCCACGCAGTCGCCTGCTGCCCTGGGCCCGCTGAGCTCGGCCCCTGCCCCTTTCCCCCCCAGAGTCCCCCGCAGGCACCTTCGGCCGGGACGCCTCCTCCAGCTTCGCGACCTTCTCCATCAGCACCAGCCCCGGCGCAACCTTCAACCTCTCCTTCTTCCTCCGGACTCGGAAGCCCGACGGCCTGGTGCTCCTGATCGGCAACGGGACTGCGGCGCTGCTCTCCGTGTACCTGCAGGGGGGGCGGCTTCGGGTCCAGGCTCCGCCCGCCGCCACCTTCGGGCCCGCTGGGCACGTGGCTGACGGCGCCAGGCACTCCGTGGTGCTCTCTTTCCGGGAAGGCGTGGTGCGTGCCGATCTTCTGGGCAGAGAGGAGGAGCTGGGGCCACTGCAGCTGGCCCCCCTTGCCGCCGGCGCAGAGATCCACGTGGGGGGGCTTCCGGACCAGGAGCGCACCGGCACCTGGGGAGGGTACTTCAAGGGGTGCCTCCAGGACGTCCGACTGGACCACCACCAGCTGTCGTTCTTCCCCCGCCCCACCAGCAGCCACCGGGCTCTGCGAGAGGAATACCTGGGAGAGGCCACCAACGTCCTTTCGGGATGCCTCTCGGATGACACCTGCCAGGTAAGGCGACGGCTGCGGTTGTCCAGCGGCAGGTAGAGGCTGTTTGGAGACTCTCTCCGGGGGCAGCTGCCCCTCTCTGGGAGACATGCTCACGTGGAGGCCGGCCAGAGGCCTGTTGGGGCTCAGTGCCCATTTCCCAGCCGTGGCCTCTGAGGGGTTCAGGAGAGAAGATGGCGAAAGGGCCACCCCCTTCCGCTTGCCCCCAGCAGTGATAACCTAACCAGACTGGCACCCCGCTGGGGTTGTGTCTTCTACAAAAGGCAGCATAAGCTGCTCTCCACGCGTCCCCCGGAAGGCAGCCTGGGGGCGGATGGGGTGCCGCGTGGACCGACGGCTCCAGGTAGTTACTTCGGACGGGCTCAGTCCCGCGCGCTCTGCTCCGGCCGGCTCGCAGTTCGTGTTCCTGGGAGCAGAGCCGCTGCCCACGCAGGAGGCGGCACGGCAGGGGCGCTCGCTTGGTGCGTGGCCACCTCCTTCCAGTCGGCCAACGTGGCCGGCGGCCTCTGCTTGCTGGGGTGGCTGTGACTCGCGGTGCCGAGTGCAGGCGCCTCCGGATGCCGAGATCTCCCAAGCGGGCTGGGGGGGGGGTGGGCTGGGGTAGCCGCGCCCTTCCCCGCCTCGCCACGGGCGTCCGGCCGGCAGGGGCGGGCAGTGCCACGAGACCGACGGGAGCGACCCGCACGCTGAGAGGGGGCCGTCACTTCCTTGCTCTGTTCTTCCTCCACATGCTGCGGAAGGCGCAGGCAGCTCACCCTGCCAGGTGGAGTATGCGCTGCCCTTTGCCCGCCGTCTCCAGCATGCGCCCGTCCCCTCCACGCGAGCATGCCGCCCCCCTGCCCGAACGCGGAAGAGGGCCGCCCCAGCCGCCGCGTCCTTTCTGTCCCGCCTCGGCTTGGGCCGGGGGGCTTGGGTGAGGGGTTCGGCGAGGGCTTCCTTTGGCCCACCCCCACGTGTGGGCACCAGGATCCCCTCCGGCGGATGCTCCCCGGAGGGACAGCAGCTCTGTCGGGCGTGTGGCGAGCGGGATGCCACTGCCGCATCGGGGCCTCCTCGGTGTGCCCCCCTGCACCCAGCACAGGGCAGGGACGGCTCTGGCTTCCACAGCCAGGCAGAGGCAGGAAGAGCGCTCACCCGCCTGCATCGCTCTCCTCCGACTCCCGCGATGCTGCATTGGCTCGGACCTCGCCAAAACGTGCAGCCCCAGGGACGCTCTCCACCAGCCTTCCCCAGAGAGATGCCCTCCAGATATTCTGGAGTTCAACGCCCATCAACCCCAGCCGGCATGGCCAGTGGGGTTGTGCAAAACACAAGGAGTGCGCCAGGCTGGGGAGAGCCACTGCTTGTCCCCCGCACTCGTGGAACAGCCTTGGTTAGCAAGGCACCCTCCCGGTGTTTTGGAACACAACTCCCAGCATTCCCAGCCCAACTGCTGCACACCACACTGGGGAAGGCTGCAGAATGGCCCAGGCCGCCCGAGGCTGTGCAGTCCGCGCGGAAAAGGGCTTGGGTCAGGAAACTTGTCTGCTGCCCGGCCACCCCTCTCTCGCACCAACCTCGGGGCCCTCTCCCAGCAGGACAAGGCGGAGAGGTCCAGCCCGGGACGTGCTGGCAGAGGAGAGAACGTGGTCACCGTCCATCATCCAGGGCAGCCCCTCTCCCCGCGACCTGCCCTCGCTCAGCCCACCCGCCGTCCGTGCATCCTCCCGCCTCCCCTTCCTCGCAGAAGGCTGGCAGCCCGCCCTGACTGCGCCTCCCCTTGCCTTTCAGCCCGGGCCGTGCCTCAACGGCGGCCGATGCACCGTCACCTGGAACGACTTCAGCTGCAGCTGCCCCTCCAACTCCACGGGCAAACGCTGCGAGGAGCCAGTGTGGTGCGCGGGCGAGCCGTGCCCGCAGGACACGACGTGCGCCGACGTCCCCTCCGGCTACGTCTGTAAGCAACAAACACTCCAGGACCTCTGGGCTGCCCCAGAAGGGGCCCCTCCGGAGAGCACCCGGGCGCACGCCCGCAGGGGCCAGCCCTTTGGCTCCCCGAGCATGAATGCGGGCCAGAGAGGGTGCTGGGGGGGGGGGACTTGTCTGGGTCTCAGGCGTGTGCCCGGGAAAGCTTTTGCGCGGAGTTCCACTTGGGAGACACCTGCCACAGCCCCGGGGAGAGCAGCTGCAGGGAGTGTGCATGAGGCACATCCAGAAGAGCCGTTGCTCCCACCTCCAGAAGCTCCTCTGCACTTCCGCCTCCTCACGTTTGCTGCACTGCCGATTCCGCTTTGCTTGGGGCGTGGCTGCTCGGGCTGCCAGCTGGCTCAGCGCTGTAACGCAGCTGCCGCTTTCGCTTCCTCCTCTCCCTCCTTGCAGGCCTGGCCAGTACCACGTATTACGAGCACAACGCGGTCGAGTTCGCCCCCAACGCGAGCATCACCAGAGCCCTGCACAGCCTCCGGCTGGACTTCAGGACCCGTGATGAGGATGCCGTGCTGCTGGGGGCCGTGGCGGCGGCGGACTCTCTCCTGGTGGCCATCCAGAACGCCTCCCTGAGGGTGGAGCTCCGCAGCGGGAACGGTGTGGAGGGGGCGCACTTCCTGAGCCGGGCGCCCGTCTCGGACGGCTCGTGGCACACGCTGGCGCTGTCCATGGAAGAGCCCTCCGCTCCGTCGTCGCGCTGGCACCTCCGCCTGGACGGAGCCACCAATGCCACCCTGCGGGGCAACGCGGGGAGCCTGGACTTCCTCAAGGGCAACGCGGCAGTCTTCCTGGCCAAAAACTTCACCGGCTGCCTGGGGCACGTGGACATCGGGGGCGTCTTCCTGCCACTGGCCGTCCGCACCGCCTACCCGCAGCCGGAGCAGTTCCTGCTGGTGACCGGGGGGGCGGCGCTGCTCGGCTGCAGCGGGGGCGACGTGTGTGCCTCCGGCCCGTGCCAGCACGGCGGCGCCTGCCAGGACCTGTTCGGCGCCTTCCGCTGCGCCTGCGCCCCGGGCTGGGAGGGCCCGCTGTGCGAGACGGACACGGACGACTGCGCACCCGGCCCCTGCGTGCACGGGCGCTGCGTGGACGAGGTGGGCGGCTTCCAGTGCGAGTGCCACAAGGGCTACATCGGCAAGCGCTGCCACATCGACGTGGACGACTGCATCCGCCACCAGTGCCGCAACGGGGGCAGCTGCGTGGACGGCGTCTACAGCTACTCCTGCCTGTGCCCCCCCGACTTCACCGGCCCGTTCTGCGAGTAGGTGCCCGGGGCGGGGGCAAGGGTGGCGGTCTCCCTCCCCCGGGGGTGGAAGCGGCTTCTCCTCGGGGGCTGCAGAGCCGGGCTGGTGTGGCTTCAGCGCTCCGCTTGACTGGGGTGAATCGGGCCCGGGAGCTCTCTTCACGGGGCGATCCCGGCGTGAGCTGCCGCCCCGACGCCGGAGGCTCTGCGCAGTTCCTATGAGCAGAGAAAGGCCCGGGCTTCTGCCGTCACGACGCTCCGCATCAACACGGAACGTGGCCTCCAAGCCCCGGCCCGGCCCTCTGGTTTTAAAGGGCAGCCCTTCTGGCCACGTTGCAGCTGGACATTTGCAGAGTAGCTTGGAAAAGCCCGAAGCCGGCGAGGGAGGGCGGTTGGGCGGGAGATGCGCCCAAGCAGGAATTCTGCAGCAAGCGCTTTCTCCCCGCTGTCCCTTTTGGAGATGCATGTCGCCTTCCGGGGAGGGCCGAGGGCTTGCTTTGTATGCGAAAGTCTGGCTGAATCCCTCACCACAGCTCTGCTTAAGCAGAAACCCGGCCATGGCCACCGGGAAAACCTTTTCTCTACCTGGCCCCCAAAGCAGGGGATGAGCTGGGAGGTGGCAGCCTTGTCGGGACCTCGCACTGCGCATCCTCTTAGCATCTCTGTGGCCGAGCTCCTCAGGACTGTCTCCGTCGGCAGATGTTGCACCTGACCATGACACAAACCTTCCGGCTGCCGCCTTCCGCCCTCCTTGTCCGCTCCATTTCTTCCTTTTCAGCTTCATTTGAGGAAAGAGGATCCTCAGCGGGGCTTCCTCTCTCTTCTCCACCCGCTTTTCTTCTGTGTTGTGCCTCTGGAGGGCATCTCCTGGATGCAGACGCTCACAGCGCCCCGTTTCTCTTCTCTTCGCCTCCCCAGGTGGCCGTTCCCCCCCGAGCAGTGCGGCCAGAACTTCACCTGCCTGAACGGCGGCCAGTGCACGAGCAGCGCCCAGGGAGCCAACTGCATCTGCAAGCCGGGCTACGCGGGCAGGAAGTACGGCCGACCGGGGCCCTCGGTCCGTGTTGGCGCTCCAGGGGCAGAGCGCGCGCAAAGTGCCCCTCCGCTGCCCGGCTTGGCACGGCCGCGGCCATTTGCCCGTGGCGGAACACGTGTGCACCCCCCTCCCCACACACACACACACAACCACTTGCCCACTCTTGGCTGTCACTCTCGCTCTCCGGAAGGAGCGTGCATTAAAACATGCTGTTTATTTAGGATATTTCTATCCCATCCTAGACAATCAAATTGTCTCAGTCAGCCAATTCTTTTTGGAGAAAGAGAGCTCTGGCAGCAGGAAGATCTTTTTTAAAAGCCCGTCTGTTCCTGGTACCTTAGAATGAAACATAGAAACAGTGCGAGTCAGGAGGGGCCTCCTGGCCATCTAGTCTGACCCCGGCTCCAGGCGGCTCCGCTCACGACATGCCCACCACGTACATGTCCAGTCTGTCTTCGAACACCCGCACCGATGGGGCCTCAGCCACCTCCTGTGGAAGCCCATTCCACACCCTCGGGGTCCTAACCATTAGGAAGTACTTCCTGGCACGCACACTAAATCTTTGTTCCCTGAGCTTTGTTCCGTTGGAGCACATCCTGCCCTCCTCTGCAGGGGAGAACAGGTCTCTGCCCACCTCCGTGTGACACCTACATGTCGCCAACAGATCCCCTCGGAGTCTCCTCCAGGTTAAAAAGGCCCAGCTCACTCAGTCTCGCCTCATACGGCATCCCCTGCAAATTGGCCACCGACCCTGTGGCCCTTGGCTGCACCAGTTCCAACCTGGCTATATCCCTCTTGTCATGAGGGGCCCAGAACTGCGCCCGATACTTCAGTCGCGGGCGCACCAGAGTCGTACAGGGTGCTAGCAATACCTCTCTCGGTCTAGAAGCCACGCTTCTGGCTATGCGACCAGGGGTGGCGTTCGCCCTCTTGACCGCCACGGTCCATGAGCAGGCCCTTTGGCCGTCTGTAAACATCCCCAGTTGAACCTTCTGGTGGACCAGGGCATCCTGGGGAGCTTGCCCTGGCCGGCAGCCCGCTAGCGAGCCCGCCACGCCAGCTGAGACAGCAGGGCAAAACCAGTCCCCGGCGCCCCAGCCCTTGCACACGATCCCGCCCTGCTGCACCGCCCCCGGCCCCCCAGCGCTGCCGCTGACCATTGCCGTGCTCTCCTTCCAGGTGCCAGATCAACATCAACGACTGTGACCCCAACCCCTGCCAGAACGGGGGGACCTGCCAGGACTCGGTAAACCGGTACCGGTGCGTGTGCAGCGCTAGCTACACGGGAGAGCGTTGTGATGTGGACGTAAGCAAGCTGTTCTCCGTTCTTCGCTTAGCGGCCGGCGGGGCTTTGGCCGCCGGGCTGGGGGAGGAAGCAGCAGGGCTCAGCTGACGCGGAAAGCGGCCGGCCGAGCCTGCAAGGGCCGGCCGGGGCGTGTGACACCCGTGTCTCCCGCACCCAGCTTCACGCAGAGGCGATGCCTCTTTCACACCCGGCTCATTCCAGGCGAGTTCCTGGCCTGCGATCAAAATCCCGGCACGCACACCGACCGAGCCCCCCTGCGCAGCGTCTGGGCTGCTGTCGAGCGCAGAATGTTCTGCGCACGTCCCGCGGGGGCTCAGGCCAAATGTGGGCCCAGGCACTCGCGGACGCCAGAAGACAGGTCGCGGGGCAAAGGAAAAGCACGCTAGCCAAGCTTCCTTTAGCGTCTGTGTCTCCTTTAGCGTCACACTTCCGCATTTATATATTATTTTATATACTATATACATGCTATAAATATAATTCTATTGTATACAATACATCTATTTAAACTGTGGGGACGTACTCCGCACTGCCCGGATCTCCCCAGCCGGCCTCGCAGCTGTAGTCCAGCCGAGTGAACGGGCCAAAGCCGGTGCGCTGAGAACGGGTGCGGGGGCCGAGGCTGGCGTGTGGCCCCTTCCCCACCCTCCCTTTCGTGGCCGATGCATGCGTGGGACTCGGGATGTACTAACCCTGACCGCACGGAGCCCGCTAACCTGCCGGGGCCCCTCACAGGATGCTTCTCGGCAGGACCTGGGGCCACGCGGTGCCCCGCTCCCTCGGCTTCCCCCGCCGCGGCTGGTCCGCCTCCGACCCACACAGCCGGCTCTGAGCAGCGCATCCCATGGGAACTCGCCGCGCCACCCGCTGAGGAGGACGTGGCTGGGCGACGAGGCCCGTGCCGCGCACGCTGCGAGAGGAAGCCCCGTTCGGGGACAGCGGTGGCTTTACCTGCATGCGACCCTTCGCGGGGGGCAGCATGCCGCCCCCGCCCCCGCCCCGGCCGAGCTGCCGCGCAGCTCCCCGCCGGACTCACGAAGTCTCGTTGCCTTCTCTTGCAGAGGGGGAGTCCTCCGGGGGCGCTCTTCCCGTTCCCCCTCACCGAAGTAGCGGTGCCGGTCGGCTGCAGTTGCTTGCTGCTGCTGCTGATCATCCTCGTGCTTATGATTCTCACGGCCCGGAAGAGGCGCCAGACGGAGGGGACCTACAGCCCGAGCCAGCAGGAGGGGGCAGGAGCTCGCCTCGAGATGGACAGTGTGCTCAAGCTGCCACCGGAGGAGCGGCTCATATAGGCAGCGCCCCCCGGGGGCCGAGCGATGCCACTGCAGCGCGGCACTGGGCCCCACCGCCCGCCCCGGGGCCTCGCTTGCCTCCCTGCCGGGCCGAGCCCCACGAAAGAAAGCCCGGGAGCGCGGTGGAGTTGCGAGCGAGCCCACGCACCGGCCGTGGCTCCCCCTCCCTCGTCTCCGACCCTCGTGACAGGCAGGCAGACAGGCACTGCCAGCAACTGCTGCGCACCCCCTGCCCCTCCACCGCATTCGCCTGCAGCCCATGGAGGAAGGCAAGGGGCCCCGACAAAAGCATCTCTGGGGAGCACTGGTCCCTACAGGCAGAGCCGCGAGCCGCCCGTGCCCCACAGCACTGAGGACGTGTTGCACGCCTCCACCAGCAGCAGTCCTCAGGCCCTGCCCCCCCCGCCCCACATGCCCCCTGCCCCATTTGCACAGGTGCGGGTGGACTCGGAGCCCACTTCTGCAGGTGCCACCAGGTGTGGGGGGCTGAGGCGAGGTTAGTTCCTGCAGCGGGGGAGGCAGCTCCAGCAGGTAGGTCGTCCGCCCCGAAGCAGGCTGGAGAGAGTGGGAAGCGGCCCGGTTGCTCTGTAGAAAAGCGGTGGCGGCGTGCGGAGTGGCGCGGGGCGGGCCAGGCATGCCGTCTCTCGCGCGCGCTCTCCCCGCTGGAGAACGAGCCCTGTATGCGTCCCAGGATGCCTGGCGGCTACCGCTGGCCCAGGCGCTACCCACAGAAGGGCTCGGCTGGCCCCCTCGTCCACGCTCCGGCGACGGACCCACCTGCGCGGAGACGGCAGTGTCCGCCCGACTGTCCGGCGGCTGCTGCCAGAGCTCAGTAACGTCTTGTTCCACCGCAGCGCACGGCCCGGCCCCCGGTCAGCAGCTCCGCCCTGGTGGGCGCTGTGGGCGCCGCGGGAGCCATAGTGCTCATCGCCCTCTTTGGTGTCTCCGTGGTGGCCATGAAGAAGCGGAGGGCCACGCAAGGGACCTACAGCCCCTGCCGCCAGGAGAAGGACGGGGCGCGCGTGGAGATGTGGCACGTGATCAAGCTCCCCCCGCTGGAGCGGCTGATCTGAACCGGCTTTCCGCAGCAGGCGAGGGCTGCGTCCGTGCGCCCGGACTCCCAGCGTGGCTTCGCTTCCGAGAGGCGCTCCGCACGGGCCCTGCCGGCTGCACAGCCAGCGGGCAGAGGCGCGAGGATGGTCGTGGCGCACGGGCCCGTTCGTGCCGCGGAGACTGGCGAGCCCCGGCAGAGCGGCGAGGGTCAGCGGACCCGGCTGGCGGAGGGAGCCAATGCTGTTGCCCACACAGGAGGCGGCTGAGCCCGGCCCGAGCCCGGCAACGTGGCACGAGCTCCGTGCCGGTCATCTGCTGAGCGGCAGCCGCGAGGAAAGACGGGGCCGGGTCCTGCTTCCTTGCCAAGCCCTTCCACACTTCACCCCCTTGGCGGCACACGGCTCCAAGACCGGCAAAGCCTTCCCGGCTCACCTGCCGACGCAGGACTGCTCCCAGCCTTCCCGGCCGCGAGGGCCAATGCTCCCGGTTCCTCTGAGCACATGACTGCAAGCAGCCTCGAAGAAGGGACTCCAGACCCAAGTGCCTTGTCCACACGCGACCGGAGAGTGTTAACGGCGTTGAGTCAACTGCTTGGCTCCTCTCGGCTGCCCCGGCCTCGCCCCAGGGGCAAACAACCGCAGCTTTCAGTGCACAGAGTAACGCACTCACAATCGGGGGTGTCTTCTGTGGGGTCTTATTTTCGGGGGCAAGCCACACGGAGAACCCACGGTTTGCTGCGCGGCTGTTCTTGCCCGCAACAGGACGCCGCCTCTTCCGGACCCGGGAGAGCAATTTTTCCTGCTGCTCTTGTGGCTCCTTTGTTTCTAAGCAAGACGAAGCAACTCCCAGGACGTGCTTCTCGCTGCTCCGTGCGGATGCCGGCGTGGCACGCCGGAAGGCCCGTCACATGTCGCTCAGCTTTAGAAAAGGCATGCCTCCAGAATGCACAACGGAAGTAGTAATTATGTTTATTATCATCACTTCTGCTAGTCTTGTGCAAGAGGGTATTTATGGCTATAAAGCTCCGCAGGTTTTCACGGCGTTCTGGAGCAGTTAATGGCAGCTCCCTGGCAGTTTTAAAAAATACCCCGAGGAGGCGGCTGGTGCAGGTCCCCCGTTCGTCTCACGCCATCCTGTGACTTTCGAAGGGCTTTTACACCGCCAGGAGTATCTGCACCACTTTTAAGCAGTACGTGCAAGGGGAACGGGCCTGCATGGAGGGGCCGGGGTTCACGGGCTCCCAGGTGTTGCCCCGTATATGCTCATGTGGTCTTTAAGGCTGCTTCCTGACCTTGCCCCGAGATCCGCTCCACGGCTGGCATGGAAAAGCCGCGCCGGTGCCACCGAGGTTGCGACCGGCCTCAGAAGGCGCAGGGAGGGAAGGCACCTGGGGCTGAGGACTTCCGTCCATCCCCGCTGGCCTCCTTCCCTTCCTGCTCCCCAGCACTGTCTGGATGACCGATGTGCGGAGTGGCCGCCAGGACGCACGCAAGTCTCAGCACACTTACGTCATCCGTTGGGGTGTGGGACCGAAAGACTTGCATCCCTCCAGGTCTGCTCTCCTTTCTGGGGTAGCTGGAGAGCCACTGCCAAGATGCATTCGGCAACTAATTAATCAGCAAATCGCAAATTAAAGCCAGCAGCTCGCTCCTCCAAAGAAGAGGCGTTCCCCGCCCTCCGCTCTCGGCACCGGCGACTCCCTTGCAGCAACGCCGTCACAATTTCCTGGGTGCTGCTTCTCTCTTCAACCTTTTTCACCTGTTTGCAAAGCATCCCACAATCTTCTCAATTCCTCAGTGGCTGCAGCGTGCACAAGATCGGCCGCCAGCACGCCCGTGCGTCCTGACCAAGGAAAATGGCAGGAAGAGCAATAAAAAGATCTTGGCCACAGCTGTGCATTTTCGAGGCTCTGAAACTCCACCTGGGGGTTGGAAAGAGAGAGCTGCTGGAGCAGGGGGGGCCATGAGGAGGTCCGTCCCCGCCATCCTGAGACGTGTCCCACGGGGTCGGCTGCAAGGCCGGGGACCGTAGGCTGTTCTGCGAAGGACCAGTCCCCACGGCTGGCTTGCCAGCTGGCTTGGCACGGAAGGGGATCCATCTCTGTCCGAGGAAACCCTCTCCGCTGGGTGGAGCCGGGGACGTCTTCCAGAAGCCGCCATTCCCGATGGCTCCAGCTGCTCTTCTCGGCTCGCCTTGGTCCCAGCGATGCTGTCGCTCCCTTTTGGGGTGAATTTGTGGGGTTTGGTGAGAAGTTTTTTTTCCTTCAAAGAAACAGTAATAAAAAGACTTTTGCTCCAAGCCTGAGTATGTGCGACGCACCGTCATAGTGCTGAATGTTGGGAGCGTGGGACGTGCTCGGGGGAGAGTGCCGTGGTCGGGTCGTGCAAGAGCCGGCTGCGCACCACACACCGAAAACGCGGCCAGGCTGCTGGCTGGGGCAAACCTTGGGCCTGGATGGGGAATCGTGACCTTGTATTTGAGGACGGGCAGGTAGCAGATGGAAGGGCTCTCTTCTCTGGAGTCGCTGTTGCACGTGCGGTCAAGTTCTTTACAACTTGCGGCCACCCTGTGCGTGAGAGCTCTCCCAGAGGCCCTGCCCATAGGAGCCCCGTTTGGCTCCTCCAAGTTTGTGGCTTCCCTGATGGACCGTCCATCTCCTAGTTGGACTTCCCGTTCGTCCTCCACCTTCGACCTTCCCTAGCAGGAAGGTCTCCTCCAGGCAGTCCGCTTCTCACGCGGAGTCCCAAGTAAGGCAGCCTGTGCTTTCTGCTTCTAGGCAAAGCTCAAGCTTGACTTGGTCCCCCTTGTTCGTCCTCTGGGCGGTCCAGGGCACCAGCCAAGCTCTCCTCCAGCCCCATGTTTCGAAGGCCTTCCATCCGCTTTCTGGGCTGCCTGGCGTTCACAGAATCATGGAACAGCCGAGCTGGGAGGGGCCGTGAAGGCCCTCAAGTCCAACCCCTGCTGACACCGAGTTCCACCATTCCTCCCAGAGGGCTGCCCGGCTTCTTTTTGAATGCCATGGAAATCGGGAATACAAGAGTTTGGATGGCCTCTCCACCTACCACACCTCCCAGTGTTGGCAGCGCTTGCTGTTCGCCGTGACATACAGACGGGGCCACACACAAACACGCACATGCGCACGCACATTTCCCCTCCTCGCTGCAGCCATCCCCAGACCTCGGAGTCCAGGGACGAGGGCCTGTCCCCTTTCTCTCCCCCCCCTGGTGGCGATGGGCTCCTCCCCCCGTGCCAAGCACTGGGGGCAGCGCCAACAGCTACACGCACAGGGCCCGCCATGCTGCAAACTCCCTGCCATTTCAGTGCCGTTGTTCCCAAGAGCAGCCATCCAATATTTCAGCCAACATCAGTCGGCCCAAAGGCCAAGAGCTGTGTGAGCAAAGAGCCCCCGGGTGCCCCCACCCCCCCATTTGGGCACCATGACTGAAGTACAAACGGAAGGGGTTCCATGGCACGCACCTCGCCCCATGGCCGCCATGGAGCCCGAGCCCGCCTTGCGGCACACGTCCAAGCGGCCTCGTGGCCTCCTCACCTTCTGGCCTGGGCTTGAGAGCAGGACCTCGCCAGAGAAGGGCCTGCTGGACACTCGGGGGGAGGGGGGGGCCTGACGCCACAGCACTTGTGTGGTGCTAAACGGATCTGCGTTTCCACCCCCAGCTCAGGGTAGCTGTTGCATGCGCAATGCGTCGAAAGGACAGGAAATCCGGCGTGCTCAGCGCGGCCACATCCGGCGGGCCCCGTTCGGTTCTTTGGTGGCTGCAAAGGGACGCAGCCGGGCAAGCCCCTCCAGAGACTCGGAGGCCAAAGCGGCGCAGGCGCGACGGAGCCGGTCCAGCACTGGCGAGCCGGCCGTGTGTGGCCGGCCATCGTCCCTCGCCCACCTCCGAGCTCCACGCTGCCCGGGCGGGCCCTCGGGTGGCCCGCACAATCCAGACCGCATGCGAACAGCAACGCGAGCAGAGGCACCAAGCCAGATACACCAGAGGAAGGCGCCCCCCTGGCTCCAGAGTGGGCGCAACTCTCCCGACCCCAGCCAGCGCGATCAGTCGGACCGTTCAGCATCATTAAGCCAGCCCCACACAATCAGTGCTTCTGCCCAAGCTCCCCAAGGCCTCCGAGGAGCTAGAAAGCAAGCTCACGGCTCGAGAAGCGGGGCCTGTCCTAGATTCTGATAGTGCACGACGGAGGAATCGCAGCAAGCAGGACGGGAGAGTCTCCAGCGTCGGCCCGCGGCACCCGAGCCCAGAAGCCAAGGTGGGCTCGGCCGGAACCAAAACAGACACTCCAAGGGAGCTTCAGACACACCTGAAGCAACAGCCGCAAAATCCGGTTTCACAAGCCAGCCCCAACCAACCAGACCTACTGTGCTGGGGGTGGTGATAAGCCTTCGGTTCCCACGGGCAGCAGGGTGTGATCACCAGCCCCACGCTGCGTCACCCACACGTGCAAGGCGTGTTCTCACGGCCCAGGCATCCAACGGTGCGCCACCAAACCGGGGTTGTGCACCAGCCTTTGAAGTCATCGGTCCTCGCACCGCGCGACTCACAAGGAGCAGATCCTTGCCAAGGAACCCGCCTCGGCTCGTTCTCCCCCGTCTGAGCACCAGAAAGGTCCAGCTCAGCCGCGGTGACAAATCCGCTTTTTTTAGCCCTTCTGTATAATTTACGGACGTTTTGTTTTCCACCGTGAACTGGTGACATCTGATATTTAATTGATCTATTTTTTCACAAAAATATTTGCTACAGATTGACGTTCTTTAAAGAAAAGACGGGTGACCGTTGTGGTAATTAACATTTACATCAATTTATACAGATAAGACCGTCCCATAACGAAGAGGCGACACAATTAGAAAGTCAAAGGAAGATCAAAGAGGTGCCTGAAACTCACCCAAGTCATTGGCTCTAACGGTTCGATAAACTGGTACAACCAAGGGAACCCTAATAAACCAAAGGGGTGGGGGAGACAATTTGATTATTTCTTCTGGAGAAGTTCAAATGTTTATGAATACGTCATAATATCACGGCAGCCGAGCCAAGGACTACAGATTGGCAACATCCAGTCTTTATTCAGCTTTTGTATGCTGGGCAGACAAAAAGTGAAATGAGAAACTGACAGCAGCCATCGTGTTAAGGACAAAACTTCCCATCGCTTTTCTGAGACCTTTTGGGGTCACACCCCCTGTGACGGCACTTCATCCTATAGGCCACAAACATGGAACAAATATTGCCAGATCACCCGGAGGCTGGGGGCGAAATAAATATTTCTGACAGCACGGAAGTGACGAAGGATGCGTTTTCCCTATTTCTACTGCAACTCTGCTGCGCGTGGGTTCGCGTGAATTCTCGTAAAGTCTGTTTCATAGGCCTCCCTGACAGACGGATACTGCTCTCGCCCAGTGCCACGCAGCCTCCTGGGTTGCTCACCGCACGAGCAATTCAGATGCTTGATTGTCACTGAAAACGTCACATCCGTGCAGCAAAGCCGGTCCTCGGGGGACCCGGGAGATCAGCACCTTGCAGAAAGAGAGAGGGCACCTGCCACTCGGCCACGGTTTGGGACGTTCCCTTTCGCGCTGGAAGGCTGGCTGGGCCCCAGGGAGACTCGCCAAATGCGAATTAGCGGTTTCTATCCTTCCCGGCATGGTTGGAGATTTTCCTCCAGCCAAATCCTCCCCCCTCGGCCAATGCCAACGCCAACGCTTCAGCAGGAGACTCCATTTCTAGACATGTTCTCTCCTTGAACACGGACATTTCAAAACTGAATCCCTCCAGGATTTTGGGTCCTGGCGGACGGATGTAAACAGTGTTAAGACTGTGGTCACAGTTCGGGTTGATCAAGGTCTCTTCCCCAATATGGTGTCCTCCAGCTGCTTCAGACTGTAACTCCCAGTATTCCTGACCACTGGTCCTGCTGGCGGAGGCCGATGGGAATCGGAGTCCAAAGCATCTGGAGGGCAGCAAGCTGGGGGACACTCGTCCTAAAGCCGCAGAGTTCAAAATATGACGCTGGCAGCATGAGGCATCCCTCTCTTTCCCGCTTGGAGAGAGCGTGCCGAGGGAAGGAAGCACTCCGGATGCTTTGGCACAGCCGGGGAGGCGGGCACATGCCGTGGGCAGCCCCCGACATGGGAGCCCGGCCATCCCGAGGCCCCAGGGGTGGATCGGCTGCCTCCAGGCACGCAGGAAATCACTTGGCGGCAACTCTGCAGGCAGGGGGACCCAGGGAGGAACCGGGTGGGCTGGAGACCCGCCGGGCGAGAAAGCCGCTTCGGCACCGGCATGGCAGCCACGCATCTCTCTCTCCGGGCCTGCAGTGCACCTGGCTGCAGCCTGCGTCCTGAGCTGGCCACAGATTTACATGAGAGTAAACGTGGGCAGTGGCTGCACGGAGGAACGGGCAACCTCCGGCCAACAGGCCAGTGGGCCCAAGCTGCCCAAAGCGTGGAGCCTGCGGTGAACTCACCGAGCCCCTCTGGAGGCCCACAGAGAAGGGAATCCTTCCACCCCCGGGGGGGATGCCACTGCCCGCTTGTTTCACCACCGGGAGGCTGTGGGACCCGTGAGGGCACCCCCTCCAGCCCCCGCAGCTGGGGGCTCGCCCTCTGCAAGGTGGGGCACCCAGCTGGAGGAGTGCATGATGCAAACAGCGTGGCCCCCAACCCCAAAACTGGGGGGGAGCGTGGGTCTCCCCAGCCCACCAGCAGGACCCAGGGAGAGAACCCACACCCCCTGAATGCACCCCGATCTTGCATGAAATAGACGAGTGGGCTTGACGTGTTTTACTATTCAGAACTAGGCAATATCAAAAACATCTTTTTCCCAGCAAAAGAGAGAATACAAAACCGAGAGAAAGCGACAGCTGGACAGACGTGGATGATGTGCGTGCGATGCCAAGAGGTGCCCCTGGTGATCTCCCGGGCACTTCCACTCCACAGGCACAGGCGTGACGTCGGAAGCCTCGAGTGACACTTCAGCAGCATGGAGGAAATGCCAGGATGGGCGCAAAAACGGAAGCCAGACGGACTGGGAAGGGAAGGGGAGCCGCGGAGGACTGGCGTCCTCTGAGCGTGTGCGGAGAAAGAAGGCCCAGTTTTCAGAATACCCTAAACCTAAGTCACCCAACTCAAAGCGGCTGCTGATGGAGAGGCCGATGTATCCAGGCCCTTGAAGCATCTGTGGCAGTCGTGTGTTGCTCGGACTCGCTTCCAATTCTTCTTGTCCCTCCGTAGCAGCCCGGACAGATCTGCTTGCTGTCCGGAGGGGGCTGCGAGGAAGAAGGGTGCAGGGGCTTCTTGAGGCTGCCAAGATTCTCAGCCGGGCTCCACCTCGCACCGAGGATCGGCCTCTGGCCCCATGTCCTGTGTGTTTCCCTTCCACAAGTCCCGGTGTTGGTGCCACTCGACCTCGTTTCGGAACCCTTTGGAGCAGCTTTCCCCAAGCTGATGTCCATCCGGCTGCGTTAGAGTGTGATTCCCATCATCCCCAGACAGGGGAGTGAATGGGGAGAGTCCCAACCTAGCTGGAGGATGTCCGGATGGGGAAAGCTGCTGGAACACGCACGTCTGCCCACCTGGGCGCCCTTTATGGGAACCCTGACCGTGTGCGTTGCGCTTCAAGGTTGGCAATTCCAACTCGGTGGACTCCTTGCCTCAGCCCTAGGTGCAAGCGCTCGGCCCGGGGCGGGAAAGCTTTTCCATTCCCGGGGGAGGCTCCCTGTTGCCGGCGAAGACCGGAGGCAAAGGGCCGAGCTCAAAGAAGCGCCCACCCACCAACAAAAAGTGCGCCTGTGTAACAGAGAAGCCGGCGAGGAAGAGAGCGTGGCCGAAGAGCCAGTGGCTGAGCCCGCCCGAGCGCCGGGCTCGTGCGCTGGATGTACGTGTGAAAGCGAGACGGAGCTGCGCCCTGCAGAACGCGAAGTGCAGCACCGGGCGCTGGGGAAGGGCGAGGCCGCCCCCGGGCGGGGGCAGTGGGTCGTGACGGCAGGGGTGTCAGGGGGGGCAGGAAGGGGCCTGGGGAGCAACTGAGCACTCGCGCATCCAGCTGCTCCTTGGGGCAATTTGGGGGGTGCCCCACCCCACCCTACCCCAGGTCTTGTTTTTGGCCACCGCTGGCCATCAGCGATGGAGAGGGAGCCCGCAAAGGTCCCACCGGCCCCCCCCCGCCACACAGCGGGGTTCAGCCAGCTCTTCTTGCGGGGGCCCCACGGCCCGGCAGCTTCGGGCTGTCGCAGGCTTACCGGGGGCTTGTGGGGCTCAGCAGGCAACAAGGAAAGGAAGGGCGGCTGCGGCGCTCACTCGAAGGTTTCCCACTGCCGCCGCAACTGCTCCACTTTGCCGGGCGTGACTGAGACCTCCTGCCTGGTCTTGCTAAGCAGCTCCTCGAAGGGATCCCTGGCCTCCCGGGGCCCGGAGGGGCGCAGCACCGCCTCAGCTGCGCCCGCGGGATGGGGGGCCAGCGGGAGGTCGCTGGGCCTGGCGGCTGGCCCGGCCCGGCCCCCCAGCTTGGAGGCGGGGTGCGCCAGAGGCAGAGTCCGGATTTTGGAAGGGCCCCCGCGCCGTGCCGGCGGCAGGGCACCGCTGTGGGTGGGCTGCGGAGGCTGCAGGGGGGCCGCGGGCGCCTGGGCAAAGAGGTTGGGCATGGAGAGCGTCAGCGGGTTCGGGGGAGGCTGCTGGGGCGGGAAGAAGCTGGAGCTGGAGGTGATGAAGCTGGAGCTGTAGGCGTGGCCGAGCGGGGAGGCGAAGGAGCCGCCGGGCGGCCTGGCCAGAGTGAGCAGCATGGCCGGCACGAAGGGGTTGAGAGGCGCCGGCACGAAGGGCGCGGCCGGGCGGGGGAACGCCAGGGGCTGGCCGAAGGGTGCCGCCGCGAGGGGCATGAGGTCGCCCGCCGGCGAGGGGAACGCCCCGGCTGTGCCGGGGGACATGCAGCCCAGCAGGCCTCGGGGGCCGCCGGGACGGAAGCCGGCTTCCGGACCGCCCCCGGCTTTCAAGGGGTCGAGGAGGGAGAGGAGGAAGTCGCTGTCGCTGTTGGTCCCCTCCTGGGTGACTCGCACGGGCTGGAGCATTTCCGCAGCCCCGCCGGCGCTGGACAGAAGTGGCAGAGGCGGCTGTGAGGCGAGGCCACTGGGCTGCCCGAACTCCGGGTCCCGCGAGAGGCTCCCGGCGGCAAAAGTCTCCTGCAGCAGCTCCGAGGCCAGGCCGCTCTGCCCCACGGGGCCGGGGACCGTTCCCGGGGGCGCCTGCTGCTTGGCCGGCCTGGGGGCCGGCGGTGGCGGCGGGACGATGCCCAGCTCCGGCGTCTTCCTCCCTTGTGGCCGTGGGATGGTGATGCTCCCCTGGGTGCCCACGGGGCCGCCCGCTTCCTTCTCCACAAGGTCCAAGATGCTGTCCCGGCTCCGGGGCCTCCACGGGACGGGGGGCACGTTCCCGAGGGGTGTCAGGGGCCTCTCCGGGGAGCTCTGCAAGAGCTTGCTGGGAATGGCCATGTCGTCGCAGCCCAGGCCCCACGGCTGCTTGTAGTGGTGGGCACGCTTCATCCCCGGGGCTGCCCAGCTCTCCTCGGAGAAGGCAGGGTCCGTCCTCTGCCGGAAGGACACAGGGGTCAGTGCGCTTCCTGCAGCCCCTCCGAGCTGCCTCCCTTTCCCTGGAACGTCCTGCCGCGATGGCCCTGGTGCTTGGTCAGAGGTTTTGTCCGTGCCCATCCGGCTGTCCCCACTACCACCGACAGACTCTCCCGCCCGCCCCCTGCCCGCCCTCCCCAGCTACCCTTGCGCCCCCTTCCGCCCTCCGCAGCTTGGTTCAACCCCGCAGAAGCCACCGAGGAACCAAGCCCTCTCCCGCCCGGAGCCGTCCCTCGCCCGCCTCGGTGCTCTCCGGCACCCCGCACCTGAGAGTCCACGTCGTGCAGCTGGTCAGCCGGCTCCGGCGGGATCCGCAGGTCCTCCAGGCTCTTGGCTTGGCTGAGCGGTGGGGGCGGTGGCGGCTCCACCTCCAGGCCTGAGAACAGCCCTTCCAGCAGGCTGAGCTCGGCAGGGCTCTCCGGCGTCGGGGGGTCAGCGCGGCCAGTGTCGCGGGGCCGCTCCAGGCTGAGACCTTCCTCCCCGTCGGCACTGTCCGACTCCTTCAGCGTGCGGTAAGGCTGGGGCCTGGAAGAGGGGGAGAGATGCGTGGTCACCGGAGAGGCGCCCCCCAGCGAGGCGCTTCCCCACCGGGGCCCTCCGGCTGTGCCGGACCGCATCTCTATCACCCTTGCGATCGGGCGCATCTGGAGGACACCGGGCTGCGGAAGGCAGCTAGACGAGTCCGGAAACACCGAACATGCGCAGGGAAGCAACATGCGCTTGCTTTCCGATCCGAGGAGGCCTGAAAGCAGGGCCAGCGTGTTCCGGTGGGGAGGGGCGGGGGGTCCAGCCAGCAGCAGCCACGGAGCCGAGGGTCCCGCGGGACAGACTATCGGACCCAGAGCGAGCAGGCCGGGAGGCACGGAAAACGGCGGTCCCCCGGCCCGGCCCCCGCGCCCTTCTTGGGCCGGCCCCGACGCAGCGTGAAGTGTGCAGGGATCGGCACGGGAAACAGGTGCACGGAAAAGAGAACTCGGGCTGGGGGGGAGCATGGAGCTCTGTGGCAGCTCATGTGGGGGGTTTGAGGATGTGGCCGGCCTGTGATCCCGGTCACGTGCCACAGGGGATTCCAGAGGGTGATGGGGACCTGGCCGTGGCATTGGTGCTCCGACTGGGCCCGCCGCCTTTGCCCGGGAGCTGAGCGTGCGCCCCTCGTTCCTACCACGCAGGGTATTTGCGCCAGGCCAGCCCCGGCTGTACCGCCTTGCTCCGGCTGCTTCGGGGCCAACAGCTCCGGAGCAACAGGAGCTAGTACCGACGATGGGACTGGTGGTGTCGCCTGACCGAGAAGGGCTGTGTCCATTACGGTGGGGAGGGGGCGGCTGCGCAGGCTTCCCGAGCCTCCGGCGCCAAACAGCCCCGCTCCCGCGTACCTTGGCAAATGGGCCATGAACACCCTGCGATTTGCATGTCGGCTCTGCACGCAGGAGAGCGAGCGAGCGAGCGCGAGCGCGGAAGTGCAGTGCGCATCCAATTAACACGGCAAACTGACATGCATTTCCAGCGCGACTGGCGTTTGACTGGCAGCTCGTCTCGCCGTGCCCTTTAAGCGAGGCTTTAGATGGAGGAAAACATGGGAGGGGGCCCGGGAAGCAGGCAGCGGTGGGGGGGGGGGCTCGTCTCTCTCCGGTGCCTGGCTAAGCTGCGCCCGCAAACTCATTAGCAAGGGCTGGCTCGTTCCGCCCCCGTCCGAGGAGGAGGAGGAGGAGGAGGAGGCGGCGGTGGCGCTCGCTCGGATGCCACACGACGCCGTGCGTGGGGACCGAGGCTTCGACCAGCAGAAGTTCAGGGGGCAGGAATGGGGGGGTGCGGATGTGGCGGAGGCGCTTCTTATCACACAGGATTCTCTGCCTCCCACTTCAGCCCTTCCTGTCGTGTAGACGTTCAGTTGTGGGCCTCGCAGGTTTGCCATCATGGCGCCTCCCACTTAGGGCGACCCTCCAGAAGGCCCGGCCCGGCCCTGCCCTGCCCTGGCCAGCCCGGCCCGGCTCTTGCCAGTCCACGGTCCGGCCCCCTTCATGGAGTCGATCCGCCTCCACAGCAGCCGGGGAAAACTACCTTCCTTGGCAACAGACCCCGACCTGTGATTTCTGGGTGGTCTGGTCCTCAGCAGGCCACGAAGACCCCGGAGTTTTACAGGGGTCCTGCTGCAAAGGACCAAATAAACCAGTTTGCTGGACCGGACCGATCAACCGAGTGGCCTGCATTTTTGCGCGCTCCTCGAGGTTGTGGCTATGGGGATTGTCCCACAGAGCGCTTCGAAAATTAGCCCTACGCCACTGGATAGGAAAGAATTCACATATCCTAAGACGAACACTGGAGCCTAGAAGGGAATGGGGGACCACGACCCGGGCACCCAAAGAGCCCAGCTCTAAGACTACGGACACAGTCATCCTGAGCTGCCCCCAACCGCCCTGCAAGCCGCTGGTCTGAGAGTCAGTCCCCTGCACCCTGCCTTTGTCCCCGGGAACAGCCCTCTCTCTTCCTCCGAGCCATAACCGGCCCTGCACCCAGGCCTGGCTTCCCCGTTCCCCCCAGTTCCTAGGACCACTCCCCCACTACCAGGAACCACCCCACTGGCAGGCAGCCGTGGGCCCCAAAGTGCTGCCCGGCCCCTCGGCCGTCGGCTCCAGGAACGCCGTGTGCCTTGGCGTTCGCCCCGGCCGGGCCTTCGCTCAAGGCGCCTTGCCCAGCCGGCTGTCCGGACTCCAGAAATCAGAGCAAAGCCAGCGGGATGCGGGGCGGAGAGGGTGGGAAGCTCCCGAGACGCACCAGCAGGCCCACGTCAGCAGCGGGGGGGGAGCCAGGCCGGGCCACCCAGAGAAGGACACGGGAGACCCCCGCCTTCCGCCCCTGCGGGCAAAGTGAAGTAGCTTGGCAGGGGGACATGCATGCGCGCGCGCACACACACACACACACACAAGGCTGGCGGAGAAGCACCCGCGCAAGGCAGAGAGGAGCGGCACAGCAGGGGTGCCCCAAGCGAGGAGGGGGAGTGGTGCCGGGCCAGAGCGCCAAAGAGTCAAGGGATGGACCATTCGAAAGGAGCAGAGAAGAGGAAGCTGTCAGAGAAGGCTGAGCCGGGGTCGTCTTCCTGAGGAAACTCATCGCCGGAAGAGTCCTCCGAGAGAAAGACGGTATAGTGGCGCGTGGGCTTTACCAAGCTGAAGGAGAAGGGAGAGGAGAGAGAAAGGCGGTTACTGAGCCGAACCTGCCGAGCGGAAGGAGACCAAACCCGAAGCGGTTCCGAGTGACGACGTGCGGCAGGAAGGACGGGAGGCCGGCCGGAGGAAAAGATGCGCTTTCCCGAACCGCTTGGAGCGCCAGGCCCCGGGCCAAGGGGGGGGGGGCAAAGAGTGGGACCCCAAAACCAACCTCGGGAAAGCCAATGCGGACAGACCTCCAGCGGCAAGAAGGGCGAGCCCTGCTGGCAACGGACGGGTTCAGGAGCCCGAAAGGAGCGAGATGCCCCGCACGTGCCGAGGGGGCAGAGTCCAGCATGCAGCGCGAGACCCTGGGAGCTCCCCACCCCACAAGAGACACACAACCCGCCTGAATTCCGCAGCCTCTGCTTCTGCCACAGGACGCTGCTTGGCAGGCTGGGACTCCGCAAGGGGAGCCGGGAGTTTCCGGGCACTTCCCGCCAGCTTTCAGACCTGTCCCTGCACCACCCTCGTGCCACACAAGAGCACGAGCACCCGGGCGGTGCTTTCCTGCCCCGCGGGGACGACTTGGGTCGCCCACCCGCTCCTGTGGCCGGGTGGCACCTTTCGCCGCCGCCGGAACGCCGGGAGCACCTGTGGGCTGCGCGCGGCACACGGCGAGGTTCCGCCACAACCACCACGGAGGAAAACAAGCCTGAACAAATGGTTTGCGCACACGGTCTGACTCACAGGCGTCCTGTCAATGGCCGTCTTGGAGATGGCGGCTGAAAGTTTTCTCCTTGAAGACAAGTTGAGTTGTCTTTTCAGTGGTGACGTGTCACTAAAATATTTATTATTATAAAAAATACATCTGCCTCGTCAGCGGATGGCTCGGAGCTCTGCCTACACACAGACAAGTGTCTGGATGTTTGCAGAGAACCTAACGGCCGGGCTGGTGTGCTCGCTCCGCACACGTGCACACGCACGATTGAAAAGAAAAGCACTCTTGCTGAGGCCAAAATGCACCTGCCTGCGGCACGGCTTAACAAGGCAGGTGCCGACTAAGGATGTGTCCAGAAGGAGAACTTGTCCGGATGCATCCGTGCCGGCACAGTTCCTGCCCATGGCAACCGTTCTTCTGCAAGACGCGTTCCCAGGAGGGCTGGAATCGCTTCCGGATGGAGGCCCCTCCGTCAAAACTTAAATTAAGTGCATGCCATCCATCGTGTGGCCAGGAATCCTAACACAACTCCCTTGCCCACACAAGGCCACTGACCAAAAGCACGATCTCTAAAGGGAAGATTTGCTATTTTAGATTCACAGGAACGGAAACTGAAGGTGCTTTTCTTCCAATATACATTTTAGGGCTATCCCCTCAAAAACAATATACCCAGAGGTGAAGTGTGGGCAGGGAGGCCACTTGGCTTCCTCAGACTGAATTCTTCGGTTTGGGATTTGCCCCAATTCCCCGAACGAGTTAATTCAAATTTTTATTTATGTAAACATGCCCATATGCATAGCTGGCTATAACTGCTGAGGCCCTCTAGGCAGCTGAAACTGCATTGCAATTTTGGGATTGCGATTTGTCCCAACTCGCCAAATGAATTAATTTGATTTTTTATTGACTGATTGATTGATACATACAAATTTATAGCCGCCTGTAGCTGCTGAGGCCTCTCTAGCACGGTACCGATACAGGGCTGGGCTGCGCCTGCTGGCCCGCCCCGCTGGCCAGTGTCCCCACGGAGCGGCATCAGCTCTCCGGGGCGAGGGGCCGGGGCCGGGGCCGTTCCCAGCTCCACCTGGCGCAGCTCGGGACTGGATCCGGCCCTCCCGCACAAAGACACACCCCTCACGGAGGAGGAGGACGGCAGGGGTCCGTCAAGCGGCTCGGCGAAGGAGATTCCAGGCCCTCGGCAGAGGAAGGGTCCTTGCCCAGGGGTCTCCCGGAGGCCGCCTTTTCCCGGTTATGGACCCTGGGACATGCCAGACCCGGAAAAGGGGCATGCGAAGGGGGTCCTTCCTGGGAAGCACGGGGGAACACGCACGTTCGGCAGCCCCCCCCCCCCAGAGACAGCGAATGCGCTGAGTGCGAGCCACTGAGTGTGAGACGCTGAGCGTCCCCTCGCGATTCGATCCGGAAGGGTATTTTCTTTCACGGCATCAGGCTCCAAGGCAGGAGACAGACAGGGCCAAGTTCCCACACCAAGAGGTATGTAGTCAAGACGTGGCCGCATCCAACCACCTCCCAAGCGCCGACAGACGTGTGGGAACAGGGAACGTTCCCCCAGCCCCACACGGCCGACAGCTCCGCAGTTCCTCGGGGGCCAGGGCTGCATTTCTGCCTAGCCCTCGGCAAAGAGCTGCCCGCGGAGAGGCCACATGGCCCACGGCGGAGGGCGAATTCAACATGCCACGAGGTCCTTGCAGGGCTGCGACGGGCTTCCCGGCCACCTGCCAATTCCCCGAGGCAGGTCCGGATCACCCCAAAGCCTTCCCCCTCCAAAGGCACCCACATCCTCCCCACGGAGCTCCGTGCAGGCAGCACAGACCGTCACCAAAAGCCCCCCTCGTGACCGGGGGGGCCTCCCGGGGACCCCGTTCAGATCCCGTCCCCCATCGCGGCTTGGGCTGGAAGCAGAAGGCACGGGCGCTCGGAAATGCCCACGTGTGAATTTTTCATGAGCACGAGGCGCTCGGATCCCACACGGGCCTCGCCGCTCATTAACCCGATCCCGCCGGCTACCACCCACCTCTTGCTCGCTCGCTCGCTCGCGTTCCGCACACAAAGAGCTGTCTTGGGAAGGCGGGTCGCGGCGAGGCCGCCACGGCGCGTGGCGGTGGGGCTGCGGGGACGGGGACCCGTCCGTCACAGCGCCGGGCCGCGGCGTCTCCGCCCCCCTAATCTCCTCCCAGGTTCCCATGCAGATGGGCTCGCTGATCTCCCTCTAATGTTTAGTTTAACATGTCTCCGGTTAGCGCCAGCATGTGACAATCCTGACAGCTGTAGCTGTTCCTTTTTAAATATCATGTCAGAGACACGGCGCAGCGATGCTGAGGATGCGCTCCACGGCTCTGCCCACCATTAGCAGAGTTGCCGCGTCGGTTTTAATGAGGACAATCTGCATTTCGGGGGCTCCCCACCCCCCATGTGTCAGGATGCCTGGACAAATCAGCCGCGCGTCACGCCGGCCAAAAACCAAGTGCTGACAAATGTAGATATTTCAAATTTAATTGACACCTAAATGTACTTAAGACGGATAAAGGGAACGGCAACCAAAAAAATAAAATTAAATTGAAAAAAAGGGGAAAGGAAAGGGAAAAGAGAAAGGAGAAGTAGTGGGAGGAGGCTGGGGACAGGGATCGGTTGTGAGGACAAGTTTGCCTCCAGGAAAGGGGGCAGACTCCGTTTTATTCCGAGTGTGAGGCTCTGGCAGCTGCAGACAAAAAGGTGTCCCTCGGTCTTTCGCCATTCATGAAGAACCCCCGCTGCCCCCCAGTCTGGCAGAACTCGGGGCAAAGCTCGGCTCGACCCACTTCCCACCACCGCGGTGCCGTGTGGGTCCATCCATGTGGGAACCGGATTCCCCGGAGGGTAGGAGGCCCTCGAAGACACGGAGAGCCCATTCCGAGGGAGGGCACGCGGGGGGGGGGCTCTGCCTCTTGTGCAAAAGGGGTGCTCAGACTTAAACCCGCGGGGGGGGGCGGCGGCTCGGCTCGCCCCGCCCCGCCGGATTTGACGCCTGCCAACTGGTCTGCTGGGTGGCCCTCTCCCAATGCCAGGAAATGGGAAGGGCAGCGGGGGAGCGCTGCAGAAGCCAGAACCAACCCCGGCCCCGAACAGAACCGCCCGCAGAAGCAAACTGCCCCCCCCATTTTAACAGGGGCAGGGGGCTTTGCCTCCAGGGCAACTCAAAGCCCCCTTTCCCAGGGGCAGTTTGCCTGTATTCCTCCCTCCCAGACCGCCCTGGGACCCCTTGAGGTTGCGTGCTGTGATGATCCAGACACGCAGAGAGCCCTCCCGGGCCGACCGGCACACCATTTTGGGCATGCCCAAATGCATCGGGCGCACTCAGGACCGCCTCGACCCTGCGCCTGCTCGCCACGGAGGGCCCTTTCCTGTTCTCCGTGCCCAGGAGAGCTGCACCCCAGTGGGCCCAGATGTAGGCAAGGGCAAGTAACTCGGCGAGCAGTAAGAAAAGAGTGAGACAGGGCCAAGCCGCCACATCCTGGCGCCTCTGGGGAAGGTCCCATGTGCACGAAAATGGCCCACCGGGGAGGGCGCTTGGTTGCCGGACGGCTCCCTGGTCGGGGTGGCCATGCTCGTCTGAAGACGAAGCGATGGCGGCGGCAAGAGCTCGTGCAGCCGGGGAAAGGGCCGGTCCGCACAGGTCTCTTCCGCCACCGGATAAGCGCGAGGACCACATTTCAGGGGCTCAGCAAAGTATTTAAGACCTCGCTGCAGCACATTCAGGGAGAATTTCTCTTGTTTTTCTAGATTTTCTGAGGCATTTCCTGAGAGAGTTAACACCGAGAGGCCCTGGGAAGGCATCACAATCCGTTAGCCTCGGGAGGTTCTTCCAGGATGTACAAAGCCTTCTGTGGATGGCATTTTGGGTGGGCAAAGGGCTCGGCTCCCCAACCTTTCTTTCTCCTCCAGCGGTTAAAGTCACAGGAGTTCTCGAGAGCTTTGCTCATCTCCAGGAAGGGAAAGAACAGCGTATAAAAAGGAAAGGAAAACCAAGTAAAAAGCAAAAACCTTGAGGAGGCAGCAGCTCATCATAATTGCGCAGGAATATAGTACGTGTGGATTCTGTCGCCCCTAAACCGTTTGCACGAGGGACCGCTGCCCCATCTTGGCAACAACTCCTTCCTTATCCATTTCCAGAATCAGTTTGCCAGGGACTGGTGGGGCAGAGGGGATCCTGAGGGACCCCCGAGTTTTCCGCCACGCTGCAGAAGCCTCTTCAAGCCTCTCCCAAGTCGCCGGCCCCACGTTCAGTCAGCCGCGCCCCGAGAGCGGCTGATGCAGGGCGAGCGCCAACCCTCGTCCACAAGAGGGCGATCCTGCCCCACAAACGGGATTCCCGCCAGGTGCACAGGCAGGTGCCGGCTCTCCAGGCACAGCCCCACAGGCCCCTGCCCAGGCCCCGGATCCTGGGCAGGTAAGCCCTCCGGGAGGCGCCACACAGAAATCGGACCCAGGCCTCCAACTCCGGGGCAAACGTGTTTTTCCAGGGAGTGCTGCATGGCTTTGGCCCAAGGAAGGGCTCTTCCAAAGCATGCCCAACTTTAGGGCACCTGGTGAACCCAGAGGGAGGTGGAGAAGGCCCCCTCCCGCCCCCAAAGCCGCAGGAGATGGGGCGCAGGTACTCACTGCTCTGGACTGGAGACGGAGGTCCTGCGGCCGTCCACAGCGACATGGCTCCTGGGCCTCCGGGCGACGTGCGGTCTGGGGGGGCGGACCTATTCGACAAGGAGTGGAGACGCCTGCAGCAGGTCTGGCGACAAGCCGCACAGCTCCCCCCCCAACCGGTGCCCCACCGCCCCACCCTGGGGCTGCCTTGGCGCTCCTGCAGCCCCCGGCCTGCTGCCAAACCCGCGCACGACCCGGCAGCCAGGCGCCTGCTCCACAAGGCTCCCCGAGCAGCGAGCACCGCGGCACGTCCAGGCAGAGCCTCGGCCACGGGGCCTTGCGCCACGAGGGCCTTCCGGGGAGGACGTGGGCGCCTGGCCGGGTGCGCGCACGAAGTGCGGGGAGAGAAAGGGCTGGGCAGGATTGGGGAGCGCGGGCCAGGGACTCCCACCGGAAGGCGCGCTGCACACGAGGCTCGGGGAGCCAAGGTCTGGGGGCCGCTCTGGAATGCTTGCAAGGGCAAGCGCTGGAAGCGCTTCTCCACCTGTCCGGGGCCCGCTGCAGCTGTGAGGACGGCCCTTGGCGAATTCCCACACAGCCCGACGCCCGTTTGCGTGGGGTTTACCCATGGATAACAACCCCACACGCTATGGCTCTGATTTCAGCAGGGCTTGCTTCCTTCCGAGCGAACACAATTAGGGCCACAGCCCGCCGATTCTCCTCGTCTCTTTTAAAAGCATTCGCACACTAATAAAAGAAGCGCCTCGCGGAGTGAAACCCAAGCAGAATGGAAAGCAAATAATGCCTTCTTAACGGACAAGATGCAAAAGAAAGTTTCTGCTTTTCGTTGGCTCCAAGGAGCGCATGGCCAGGGATGTGTTCCTGCTACCATGTCACAGGTCGACATGGGCGTCTTATTCCATTTTCTGCAATATTACACTTTTCAGGCGTTTACTGGCATATTTGAAACTCGCTGCCCATTCAGGCCGCTGGAAGCAACGCAAGGGCCATGGTTTGCTTAGTGCATCGCAGGCTGGGAGGGAAAGACACGGGCAGGAAGTTCCACGCCGTGGCACGGGAGAGGTGCGGGCCTCCTTCCGTCTGCCACCCGAGCGAGTCCGAAACACAGCTGCGCTTGTGTGACGGAGGCTGCAGAGACGGCCCGCCTGTGCAGGGGCATCAAGAGACGCCCCCCCCCCCAGCTTTGTTTCATTTTAAGCGGCCAGCCTTAAAAGAGAAAGCGAGCCGCAAGCGATTCTCCCACGGCAGCAGGGCCTTTGTGCTCTTCCCACAATGGGTGGGAAGCCCCCAGCCGGGCTGTGGGGCTTGCGCTGGGAGCTGCATGGCTGCGTGCCCCCCACCCCCCATGCCGAAGGGCCCCTTTCAGCGGCTACTCGGAGGCAGGAAGGCCTGGGCAGCACCAGGCGAAGGGCGCCTGGGCCGGGGACGCCAAGCTCGACCCCACGGCCCTGCAGGCCTATCCCATGTGCCAAGCGACGGCGACCTGGCCGCCCAGACGGGGACGCCCCAGAGGCTGCGCAAAGCCACACAGGGTTCTCGCCTCGTGGCAAGGGCCCCAGAGAGAGATGGCCCCCACCCGGCCCCCTTCGTGGCACGGAGGCCTCCGCCAAGCACGAGGCTGCCCTAAAGAGCAGACGCGTGTCCGGACAACCTGTCTGCATCCTCGGGACGGAGGAGGCGCGAGCATCTCCCGCGGTCTCAGCCCTGCCCCTCCGAGCAAGGACACCCCGACGTGCAAGGGGCACAAGCGTGACCCACACCCTCCGGGGGGCAGCGGGCCCAACAGAGGCAGAGCAGGCTGCCGGGGGCCTGCGGGCAAGCGCCACGCCCCCTCTTCTCCAGAAGTCCGGTCCCTGCAGCAGGAGCGGCTTCTCAGGGCATCTTTCCCCGCATCGCAAATCCCCGCCTGGAGGCGCCGGCTACGGACCGTGGCAAGTGGGGCGAGGGGTGGGAAGGGGTGGCCCCGGTCCCCCGAGGGACCGAGCGCCACCGCCCCGGGGGGAGCAGGGGGTCAGACGCCGGCTGGCCTGCACACCAGCCCGATTCTCTGCCTGCCATCAAGGCGGCTTAAGGCGGCGAATGGATGGCAGGAATGGAAGGATTAAGTTTGCGGCAACTTCGAGTGAACTTGCGAGGCGCGGAAACGGGGGAAAAGAACAACAGAGCTAATTAGAGGAGCTGAGCTGTCAGAGCAGGGCTGCATGGCTCAGCGCCAGCAAACAAAAGGAAGGCTCCGCGATCAGCAGGATCGATGGAAGAGACTGCTTCATTAGGGATGATAAAACGCAGAGCGGGAAGGCGAGAGGGAGGGGAGCCAACGGCGAGGGGGAAACTGTTTAATTAAGCCCAAAGCCAGCTTGTCACTGCGCTGCGAGCGCTTCCACCTCCGGGGCGGCCCTCTCGGGGTGGGGATGGCCCTGCCGGGGGGGGGGGGCGGCGGGCCAGATCCTGGGAAGGCCGCTGCGGGCGGGGGGCGGCTGGGTCCCAGAGGGGTTGCAAAGGCGACCGGAGAAGCAGGGTTAAGACGCTCGGCGAACGCCGCAGCGAAGGGCAAGCACCAAGCTCGGGAGGGCTTTGCTAGCGGGGATCTTCCTGTCCGGAGACCGGCTGGCCCGGAGGGCACGGGGACGACTGACTCCTCGCGTAGTGAGCAGGACTCCTGGCACAGGTTTGGGGGCTCAGAAGCATAACAAGTGGATCGGGGTCCTGCAGCTGGATTGTTACGCGTGGCTAGGAGAAAGAGCGAGAGCCCTGGCAGGGAGTGGCAGCACCGGCCGTCTCCAGGCCTCCGGGGGAAGCGGTGGGGTCCTCTCGGAAGGACACGTCCCGAACGTCCCCCCCGAGCCCCGACTGCTGGGGCGCCATGCAAGCCGCCAGCCCCTCAACACGGCGCCGCCCAACGAGGACGGAGGGGGCCCGATGCCCAGGGAGCCCCCACAGTGCCACAAACGGGACGTGGCCACTGCTGTCCAGGCCGTGGCCTTGTCCGGGTTGAGTTTCCGCCACGTGCTCTACACGGAGCCGCCTCGCCAAAGGGCTGGGGAGTCTGACCGCGTCCTCCCATCATGCACCACCCAAATATGATGGACAGCATGTAGACTGGGGAGGATGGAAGCCGCAGTCCGCCGCACCGAGAGGCATCCGGCTGGGGAGGCGATGTTCCACCAGCATCAGCTCTTCAGGGGCTTCACCGGATCCACTTCCTCGGCCCCGAAGCCCCTTAAGGGCCCGGACAGCTTCAGCCACACTTCTCTAGGAGCCAAACTTCCAGAGGAAAAGCCAACCATGCGTTCGCAGGGGAGGGTCTCCTCGGTGGTCTCATCCACCTGGTGGGACTGGCTGCTTTCCTGAGCTACGCAGCTCCTCTGCCAGGCCGTGTCCAGACCAACCCCGTTTCAACAGGCGGAAACTTGGCTGGATTGTTTTTCTCCCAGTTTGCTCGTCTTACTGAACTGGGCCGAATTTGCCAACCAGTATTTTTATTGCAGAACGCACATGAACCTGACCCGACTGTTTTTAACCTCTTACTTTGATTTATTGTTAAAAACCGGAGAGTCCTGTTTGCTTGCAAGGTTAAATATAAAGGGTTAAAATATTTTTAAAAAATAACCAATTCATCCCTCGGATGGGGAAGCAAGCACTTGGCCGGTTTTGTGAGAATACATAAAAATGTGTAGACACGAAGCAGGACTGAGCCACGAAGGGGAAGTCCTCACTGAGACTTTTCCCAACTATTTCGTCCAGGGACTAATTTGACTTTTATAATGCCAGAGACAGCGACGTCGCGGACTACCGGACTCCAAGGCTGGATCCCGACACCCCAAACCGCTTGGCCTTGCTCTGGACTTCTCACTCCCGTGTTTGCTGGTGTGGTCGGAGAGGCATCGATGGCAGAATTCCACCCGGCAGAATACCACCCTGGTGACACCAGTGTCTTTTGGCAAGATGGTAACCAAACCCTGGCATATAATCTTTGGGGAGCTGGCATGTGCTGGCACAGCCCCCCACCCCGAAGAACCAGCCCTCTGGAAATCCTCGACCGTGCAAGAACAGCTTCTACTGCCAACATTTTTATCCATCCTCTTGGGTCCAGGTTAGGCAAAGGGTTACTGACGCACGCAGAGAAATTAAATAAACTCAGCAAATTTGACCGTGGTGCCAAGAACCGTCCAGACGTGGAATGGGGCTGCTGGGAAGCCTTTTGTCTCAGAACCCTTGGTGGGGAAGCCTGCTGGGAGGGGAACGAGAGGAACGTGGCCCGAAGCTTTTGGCTACGGGGGACAGAGCACACAGAGGGCCGTGTTTCCTGGGTAATAGATCTCGGCCAACCCTCCCGGGTCCCCAGCACGAAGGGCCCCAAACCGCAGAGGCAGAAGCGATCAGCACCACCTTTGACACTTGTAGAAAGGGGAATTATCCCCACATAAATCCATAGCAATGACTTGCGGAGCCAAACACCCCCCCGTCACGACATGGCGCTCTCCATCTACACCCAGGAAGCATGCACCGACGCTAAGCGCAAATGGCACGGCCAGTCCAGCTGCCGACGACCAGAAAGAGAAGCCAGAAACAGCAGCAAAACTTCCCGTTAGTTTTAGCAGGATGCTTTGGAAACACGCCCTCGGTTCCTTTGGCCTCCCTTACACGCGAGAAGTCGAGTTAGAGAAAGCAGTGAGCTTCTGGGGAATTTGGGTGACCAGCCCTGCACTGGCACCAATTCCTCTTTGGGCAAAGAGTTAAAAGTCGGCGGTCCAGTGCCGTCTCTTTAAGGGTATCCGGCAAAGAGAACAAGCAGAGCAGAGTGTAATGGTAAGCAGAGGGGCCGCCCCCCAAGTGCACTTAGTGGGAATGGACTGCAGCCCCCTTTGTGCAACGAGGTTTTTACTTTCAGTTACTTGTTGATTACGGACGGAGATAATTAACCTCGTTCTCACTCAGCCGTTTTTACTAACCACTGGGGGCTCCACACGGGGCCTTTGGGTCGCGGCTCCGGGTCTCCACCTCCCGCCAAAGCGTGGCAGCCACTGGGCCGAAGAGGGCACCATCCTGTGCAGGGGCTGGGCTCCCTCCAGAGGCCGTGAGGCAAAGCAGGAGCGACTGCAAGGGGCCCGGCTGGCGGCGGGGCGGGAGAGCGCGCGATCCAGTGACTGGGGCGAGCGGGGGGTGCCGGAGCATGCGAGGTTTCGGCAAGGGGTGGCATAGAAATGTTATAATAATAATAATTTGGTGCTGGCACGGGGACTTCACGGCAGTGCTCCGACACAGCCCGCTGCCAGCCTTGCTCCTCCCGTGGGGCGCTGGCGGGTCCCTCCCCACATCTGGGGTCCCTGCCATTCCTTGTGGTGCCGCACATGAAGAGGCGAGCGCTTGGCTGCTCAGCGTCAGCTGCTTGACTGCTAAGCGACCCAGAAATAAAGGCTAAAATATTATTTACACACATACTTCTCTGCTGATCCTGGAGTTTTGCAAGGGCTGTGCCAGCAGCGTCCATTCTCTGCACACGGCAGCTCCCTTTGGAACCGGGCGCTTGGGAAAAGATTTGCTAAGATCACCAGTGCTGGCGACACCACCAGCCAAGGGCCTTTGGTCAAGACGGCTTGTTCTCTTGCAGGAGGGACAAATCCCAGACCCTCTGCGACATTTTAAAAGCCAGCACCTCTTTCCAGAGGCCGGTGCAAGTCTTCAGAGGCTCACTGGCTGAAGCTGCCGGCCAAGCGTGTTAGCGGCCTCCCAGAGAGCAAGGCACAGTGGCCACAGGCCGGTGCAGGAGCGGAAGAGCCACTGGAGACGAGGCGGCGAGCGCAGCCCGGGAACCGAGCTGGGCCGGGGAAAGAGAACGGCTCAGCCAGACCCGACGGGGGGAGGCAAGCCCCAACCAGCAGCGTTTAGCAAGGCCGCGGCGCTCCGGGGGTTAGCGAGGGCAGCCGGGGGGAGAACGGTCAGCTACTCACGGGCCTGGCGGAGCGGTGGATGTTGGGAGGAGGAGGTCTCATCGGCCGGGCATCTGGCTGCAGCATCAAAGAGGAGACTTCAGTCGTCAGCCTGCTGAGACGCTTCCACCCAAACGTGCCCCGAGCTGCACCGCCGGGCCGGGGCCTGCAGGCCCGTGGCACGACGTGGCCGTGAATTCGCCCTCCTCCGACAAGCACGTTTCCAAGAGCGTGGAGTGCCTGCCTCCAACGTGCAGGGAAATAAAATTAAGCGAAAACGCCCCCCTCCCCCAGGCAATATCCGCCGCCTGCAAGCTTCTCACTGCGGCTTGAGGAATCTGAAGCTTTGTGGTTACCGTGGTACCACACGGCTGGGGCTGCACAAGGGCCCACGGCGGCCACAGGAGCGGGAGGCGACCCGCCTCAGCACACTTCCCTCCGGCCCCCGCGGTGCGCGGCGGCTCTGCTCCACCGCCACTGCGCAAGGCCCACGCTGCGCCGGCCGGGAGGGGATGCGGCGGGCATGTGGTCCAGCAATGCCCCCGGGAACCCTCTCCTTGCCACGCTCCTGGGAGGCTCACAGGACGGGAATGCCACACGCACGAAAACCAGGCTCTGCTCTGCTGATGCGGCAAATATGCCGCTTCCCAAAGGCTGAGGGGGGCGCTTTGTCATCCGCACTGCAGCAACCAGGCCGCGGATGCCCGAGTTGGGGCTGCAGAAGACAGTCCCAGGGCCACCACCAGGACGGGCAGTGGGACACGGCAACGGAGACCCCTCCCCACGCCGGCGGCTCCAAGGACAGCGGCTTGTGTCTCCGATACGCTCCCCGTGGCAGGGGCATCGCCAGTGCAGAAGGGCAGCCGAGAAGAGACGCGCACCACACTGCCGCGCCACCGCCTGGGCACCCCGGCGCATGGCTTGCAACCCCATGGGGTGGCGAACGGGCTCTGCGGGCCGGTGACTGGGGGAACGGGGCCGGGGCTCAGCGCTGCTTTGCTCCTGCCTGAGGCCACGGCCAGGCGGGAGCGGCTCCAACGGCGGCCGTCCGGGGCCAATGCCGGAAAGCCTTCGAGGCCCCTTGGCAAGAGTTGCGCAGCCGCTCTGCAGCCCGGGTTTCCGGTGGCGCAGGATGCCACGGAGGAGCCGAACTTTGGGGCACGGGCCGGATCCTGACCCAGGAAAACCAGCGCACAGGCGCCTTCTTGCCCCTTGATGTCCACATCGTGGCCAGTGATGCTCTCAGCGCGCACCCGGCAAACGGCCTCGTTCCGCCGACTCCAACGCCACGGCATTCCCACGCTGAAACCAGCACGGACCCTGGCTCTGCTGCTGCCTGGGGCCCAATCCTGCCAGTGAGCTGCGCCGACGCTGGAACACTGCCAAGGCCTTTGGGGCGTCTTCCCAGCATCACCCGACGGTCCAGCCCATTATGACCAATCGCTTGCACATCCCTGCCCTTCCTGTCGCCCAGCGAGCCCGCGCTCTTGAGAACCGTGGGCAGCTTTGCCCGGACCATTTGCCGAAGCAGGAGGAGGGGAGGATCGCTCGGGGGGGTTGCACAGGCTCCCAAAGCATCGCCAGCAAAACAGTGGCCAAGAGGCAGGGCTGCGGACGCCCCTCTGCAGGCACCCCAAAAGCAAAGACCGCACTGGCTTTGCAAAACCGCAGGGCGCCCGCAGCCGGTCCCTCCCTGGCTTCAGCGGAGTTTCAAATCAGAGCTAATAGGTTAACAACTGTTTTTCTTCTGCTTCAAATGAAGAATATCAGAAAGCTGGGGGAATATTCGGCTTTCCAATTTGTACCGACTGCTCGGTGTTCCCTGCTATGTGTGTTTGACAGGGCTGACATTTTGTACTGCTGTGAGACGGGGGGAGAGCGTGTGACATTTTTATTCATGGCGTCACACGCCCTTGTAATGATCAGCCCCGGTCGATGCGCTTGCTGCCGCAGCCCCGAGCCCTCGGAGAACAAACAGGAGTCGAAGGTACCAGCAGTTCGGCTGCCTTGTTAGACAAGCACTAAGATCCTAACGAAGAGCAACTGCTGGAAAATTTCACTGTCAAATCCTCAAGGACATTGTCAGCGAGAGCTAACTGCATATATTCCTCGTTTAAAATACAGAAAATTCACCGGCCGCGTATTAAGCAAAAGACCAAAAGCCAGGCCGGGTTTTTACATTTTCTCGTCGTCTTCTGCCCGTAACTGGTCATTCGCACAGCTGGGCTCAAAGCTGGGATTCACATCTACGAAGAGCAAGCAGGGCCTCTGGCTTGAGGGGGACACCCAGGGATGTGCGTTTCGTGACGGGGTGGGGTGAAGAGGAACCGCTTCTGCCGCTGACTCCAGGCGGGTGGACAGGCATGCTTCGGCAGCTTCTCTTGCTCTAGAAACAGTTCTCTTGGGGAGCCCTCTGTGGCACGAGCCTAGCGACTCAAGAGGGGCTGCACACGCTCTGCTCCCCAGCGGCCGGAGGGTCGCTCTCCAGGACGCGGGCTGAGGGGGGCTTGGTGGGCGTTCCCAGGCAGCCACGGGGTCTCGGTGCGTTCAGAGTGGTGCGTGGGGAAGAAATCTGGGGGAGCCATCGGGGTCGGTGCAGGAGATGCAGGGAGACCCGCCCCTGCTCCGGCCCTGGAGGAGGCTTTGCACCAGGAGAACGAGCCACACTGGAGAGACTGGGCCAGTCACCGTATCCGGCGGGCTCCGTTCGCCGGCCTGCTCCAGGGCTCCACCCAGCTGCCCCCAAAACGGGCTCCAGAGGGGCCAGGAGGGATCCCGCAGCTCTCCCCTGTGGGGCCTGCTGCGCACGGTTCAGACGCTTCCGCCAAAGGGCAACCGCCGAGTCCCCCGAGAGATGCTGCCAGGCGGTGTGGAGGGCCCAGCCGGCCAGCAGGAGCCGGTGGGGCTGAGGGAGGAGGCAGAAAGCGGGAGCCAGTCCAGCTGAGAGCTGAGCGGAGGGGCGCCCCAGTCCGGGGTCCCTCTGGAGGAGCCCACGCTGAGCTGCTGCCCGCCGCGCCAGAAGGAACATGACTCCTTTGATGCCGTCCCCGCCGCGGAGCAATTCCCCTTCCGTGCGGGGCGTGCTAGCACGGAGGGGTGCGAACGAGCGTGCAGGCTGGTGCAGGGAACACCATGCCACCAGGCCAAGTGGGCACCCCCACCCATCGCCCCCGGCTCACTTTCCTTCCCCCGGCCTGCACGAGTCAGGTCTCACCACTGCCCTGCCGTGCTCCCGGCCCCCTAATCTTCTTAACGCAGCAGCACAAGAACCCCACCAGGCCAGAAATGCTGGGGCCACCTTGGCAGAGCAATTGTGGGCCGTCGGGAGGAGGATGACACACCCCACGGTGACACACAGGACAAAGAGACCGGCCTTTCTCAAGCCACAACCTGCCAGGAAGCACAAGCATCGCTTCCAGCGGTGGGACCCCGCTGACTTTTCCGGCCCGCTTCCCACTGCGTGCCCGGATCTGAGGCTCGGCCTGAAGCGACAGGGAAGTGGTCCCGGGAAGCCCTTCGACAGGGTGGTCCGCAGGGGCAGGTTCTCCTTCGCTCCACCCCTGCGGCAGAGGGTTCAGGGCCCCTGCAGCCTGCCACCGGTCGGGCCACGGCGCCCGCCACCCGCGTTTGCACTCCCGGGCTTCACCAAAACGATCGCGCCAAGACCTCAGATCTGCCCCACCCCATCCAGCCCCTTTGAGCCGCACGTTGGGCGAAGGTTCTGGAAGGATGCTCCCTTCCTGCCTCCAGAGCCCCTTCGCGGACGGAAGCCGAGCAATGCGCCTTCCCGCTCCACCCGTCGGTTCTGAACAGGTGGCACAGTCGCGGAGGCATTTTACGCCGCGCCCGGCCTCGGGCCCCCTTGCGGACCACTCCCCCAACAGGTAAAGGAAACAGCCGGCGAAAGGGGACCGCTCACCTGGCGGTGCCTGCCCAAGCCTCGCCTGGCGCCTGAACCCGAAAGGTGAGGCCCCCGAGGAGGAAGAGGAAGCCGGATTTTGAAAAGCGGCTGCTCTCCCTTTGACACACTGAGCGCACAGAGGGCCATGTTGTTCTCTGCGCTCCCGCTTCTCCGGGTGGTTTCCACTTCGGCGTCCCCTGGCAGGCAGAGGAGGAAAGGAGGAAGACGAGCAGCATCCGCTGCACAGGCCGGCTGGCCGTCTCTCAAAAGACGGGCCCACCTAGAGAAGGCCGGAGCGGGAATGGCGCAGATGGGTCCTTGCAGGCTGCAGGGCTCGCTGCCCCGGAAGGCGCCGGGGGGACGCAACGGAAAGGCCTTTTCCGCCCGGCCCGGTCCCCACGGCCAAAAGCCAGGACGCTGGACAGCAGGGGCCGAGGCGGCTCGTTCCGCTTTCGGGGGGAACAGATGACATGGCTCTGCCCGGCCAGGCAGCCGCCTGACCCAAGAGCCTCCGGTACCCCGGGAAGGAGGCCTCCACAGGCAGGTGGCCGCTTGGCTGCTTTCGGCTCGGGGCCGGCAGATTCCGGCTTCTGCCAGCAGCTCGCAGGATGGGGGCGGCCGAATGCCAGCGACATCGAGCGAGCCCTAATGAGTTAAAACCGAGTGTTGCCGTCGGCTCGTGAGCCCAGCTCCCCCCTCCCGCTCCAGCTAATCTGTCACTTAATGAAGAAACGCACCCAGCCAGCGCAGGGACAGCCAGCGAGAGCTGCCGGCTCACTTTCAGCGAGCTGATTAAGGATGTTCAACCAACAGCAGCCGGCAGACCTCTCGACAAAAATAAATAGACTGTATGCAAATGTGTTTGTCACTCTGACAGCACATCTCAATTAAGGCGTCCTGCCAGAGCTGGTGGGCTGCAGAGCCGCCGCTGCCACGGCAAGGCGACCCGAGCTGCGGAGCCGGGGGCTTGACCCTCATCGGCATGCGGGAGTCTGGGAAGGCGGCCCCGCTTCCCCTCGCTGTGATACGAGCAGAAAGAGAAGACGAGCCCTAACTGGGGACTCGGGGGTGGGGGGGTCGCCTTCATCCGCCTCCCATTCCAGCGATTCTCCTGGCACCTGGATCGCCTTTCCTTTTTCTGCTTTGCAAGAAGCACTGCCATGGGGAGTGTCACTCTTCGCATGGCACGCAGAAGTACGGCTTCCGCCAAGCGTTTCCTCCAGAAGCACTTTGGGAAGCAGTGGTTTAAGCTCCTCCGAGCTGAGGACCACGGATCTGGAGAAGGTCTGGGCGAAGCTGGCATTTCCAGAGGGCCGTTAGCGGCTCCTTCCCCAGGCCTGGTGGCTCCACCAAAGCCGAGACACATGCCCGAACTGGTCATAAATAGAGGGCGGAGAGGCCAGTCGGGGATTCGCGCGCCCGAAACCTTTCCGCTCCCTCGGGCCACCCTGGGGGCGACCTGCAGATCGGGTGTAACTTCTGTGGGGTGGTCTGCTAACGTAAAATGACTTGGCCTGGCATTCCAATTTTTTTTCCAATGAAAGGGAATACTCTCCTGGCACTGGATGGAGAAGAGGGAATAAAAGAGCTGCTTTTGGGCACACCAGCACAGAAGCCTGTTAATGAAAATCACAGAATCGTAGTAGAGCTGAAAGGGGCCACGAAGGCCATCTAATCCAACCCCTGCTGGTGCAGGACACCACGTCACACCATCCCACTCAGAGGGCTGTCCAGTTTCACCTTGAATGCCTCCAGTGTGGGAGAGCCCCCACCTCTCCAGGCAGCCGGTCCCACTGCCGTATTGCTCTGGCAGTGAGGAAGCTTTTCCTGATGTCCCGCCTGAATCTGGGTTGTTGCAGCTTGACTTGATTGTTCCGTGTCCTGCACTCTGGCATCAGCAAGAAGAGATCCTGACCTTCCTCTCTGTGACAGCCTTTGAGGGCCTTACAGAGGGATGCCATGTCCCCCCTCATCTTCTCTTCTCAAGGCTGAGCATGCCCGGTTCTCTCAGTCTCTCCTCACAGGGCAGTGTTTGCAAACCCCGGATCATTTTTGTCGCCCTCCTCTGGCCCTTCCTAATTTACCTGCACCTCTCTCATATCTTGGTGCCCAGAACTGGACGCAGGAGCCCAGGTGAGGGCTGAGTAGTGAGGAGCTCAGAGCAACTACTACAAAATGAACAATTAGTCAGGGGCAGCAGGGGGGGTCTGGGCAGGTATTTTCCTTCAACACAAGAGGTGATCTCGCCCCCATGCAAAACGAAAAAAAAAGGTAGCAATGGCCGAGCTACTGAGACGCTGAGAGGGAGGTTTAAAACAGAAATAATGGGAGAAGATGCCAGTGACTGATTACATCTTGTGCACATGAAGATCTGAGTGTGTAACCGACGTATGCGCACTTAAATTAAGACCCCCATGACATGCTGCCAGTGTTCGGAAAAAACAGGTTTAGGAAGTACAAGCATCAGTGCACTTTTAGAATCCCTCTGAATTAGAATAGCATAGTATTATTATTATTATTATTATTATTATTATTATTATTATTATTATTATTATAACATTTCTATGCTGCCCCTTGCCGAAACCTCGGGGTGGCTTACAACATCTTGTCCAGTATCAGTGAAAAAAACAGGTGTTCACGCACATTTCCCTTCGAATATTTGACCTCCAAAGACTAAAGGCTAAGATTAAAAAATAAAATTAAAATCAGGGTTGACCATCCCATAATGATGCAAAGAGTCCTCCCTCAACTCCGCTCCCTCTCCTGCAAGCGACATCTACAAAGCTGATTTCAGTCATCTGGCAGGCCATTAAAAAAATTAGCTACTCCCATCCAGGCTGGTTTGCACAAATATATTGCCAGAGCAATAACAAAAATAACCAGCCTGCAGAGCACCAGAGTCAATACAGAAATATGGAGCCATGCTATTAACGGGCCATCAATTGATTTTCCAACCTGCATGCAGGGCTTTTCGGCTGGAAGCACACCGAGCCCTTATTAGAACTGGGCTGCTGGCGGCTGCTTCTCACGACTGGGACGGAAGGCGGCTCAACGCAACCCAAGTTACGGGGGGAGGGTATCGCGGCACCTGCCAGCAGAAGAGGGAGAATGCCTCCCCCTTTCGGGGTGACACACAGTATTCAAGTGCTCAGAAAAACACCTTCAAGCACACCTGGACAGTGCCAGGACGGCCACGGAGGGCCTGGACGTGAGCCGGCGGCCGCCCCCGACGCTGCCGAGAGCTGCTTGGGTGAAGCAACAGGTGCCAGGTGTGGGCCAAAGGCAGGTGCTGTTTTGGTGGCGCAGCAGGAAGCTCGAAGGGCGGAGAACGACCCACAACCGGCACAGGAGCTCTTCAGCAGCAAGGCCCTTCCGCCCAGACCGGCGACCAACCCAAACCCAAAGAAGCACGTCACAAGCGGACTTGCGTGCGCACGGGCACCGCCGATCCCCTTTCAGAAATGGATACGCACCTGTCCGAAGTGTGTGGTGATGGGCCGCCGGTCCTCCCGGAGCCTCGGATCTCGCTTCTCAGCCAGCGGGGAAGGAGCCGCCTGCGGGACAGAGTCTTCCGGCACCGTGGCGCAGCCGTTCTCGGTGATGTCCTGCATGGTAGGAAAAGGTGAACTGCATGGCCAGGAACACTCTTGACTAAGGGTGAGGGGCAGGAAGGAGGTACTCGGGGATAAAGCTGACTGAACAGTTTTGATGTTGGGAATGGTAACAGCGACACAAGAAGGCATAGATAAAAGCAGCAATTAATATACAGGCCCTGCTCCGTCGCAACTTCAGTCAAGTCACATTGCAGAATAACTCAACGCGACAACATTCCAACTTCAGTGGAGGGGGAAGATGGAAAGAAACCAAACACAACGGCACAAAACACGAACGCAACACCAGGATAGCTCTGGCACTGGGCAGGAAACTCCACGCAAGACCCCCGGGCAAACATCAAACCAGTTAGCACCCTATCGCTGCCCAGCCCACACCCCAGGCTGCCCGTGCGGGTAAAATCCCGGGCTATGAACCCGGGTTGTGTGTGGTCAGCAAGTCCTAGCTGCACAACTGCGTGCAGCGACAACCCAGGGTGCAGCTGTTCGCTCCAATTCAACAACTACCTGTACTCTTGGGATGCTCTGAGGTGGTGCTATTTTTGGACCAGGCCAGGTCGCCACTGGGTTCAGTTCCGGGCTCCACATTACAGGAAGGACATGGCCAGGTTAGAGTCAGGGCAGCGCAGGGCCACAAGGACGGTGGCCGGATTGCAGGGGATGCCATACGAGGCGAGAATGAGGCACTGGGTCTTTCAGCCCCGGGAGGAGACTCCGAGGGGGTCTGCCGGCGACATGCAGGCTTGTGAGAGGGGGTCGCATGGAGGTGGGGCCCTTCCTTCCAGTGCCACCTCATCTTTCTCAGTGGAGGTGCTTCCAGCGAACGTGGGACTTCCGGTGTAGAGATCGTGAGGTCTGCAGCTCAACTGCCAACTCTTGAAGCCGCACTTATTTGGAAACTGTATTGGATCATTCTGTCAATTTAAGAGGAGATTGTCCACATTCCCTCTTTGGAAAGAATGGCACATATTCCAATTGCTCTGGGCTTGTTCCGCTTCTTGCACGATCCACCAGAAAACCCGCTTCATTTGAGCTTTGCAAGGTGCAAACGGATCAATTAGCTGAGAGCCCGACGGGACTGGCACATTTCAAGGGGGCTTTAAGCAGTGGCTACTGTGTAATCGTGGCCAGCAGGCCACCGGCTCTTGGGCTTTTAAGAGAGCTGAATGAACCGGCAGGCTCAAGCACGTGACGTTGGACGCAGCAAGGCTGAGGGGCAGGCAGGGCCTCCTAGAAGATCAGAGACGACGGAGCGACTGGGACAATCAGTGGGGGAACAAAGCCCTACAGCGCCGAAAGCCTCGCCCTCAAACCTCCCTGCAACACCGCCGAGGAAACGAGGCTCGGTAAATGCACAGAGCGCCCGGCACGCACACACGTGACCCGGAGGCCGGCTGCTTTGAGGGACCGACCTCTGACATGGCCCCTTCAAGTTCTGCTCTTGCTCAAACGCTATAATGAGACCCGTAAGCTGATAGCCAATTAGAAAGCAGCCTTTTGGACACCGGGTGACCCGATGCGCTCGGGTCAAGGGAAACAAAGGCTGGGTGGACGAGATGAGGAGCTTTGTCTGGGCCAGACACAAAAGCAAGCGTCCCGTCAGATCCAGCCGACGGAGCCGGGCCTGCCAAGGTGGGCGAGGAAGAGGAATTAGGAACGTGCGGAAAGAAGGCCCCGGATGGAAACTCGGAGCAAGGGGGACAGCAGCACCTTGCTTTTGCAGAACGCCACGAAGTCAGACATGTGAGCGACGCCGCTGGGCCGGAGCGATGGGGGCCGCCCTCGGGGAGTGGCCAGTGCGCGGGCGCCTTCGGAAATGGGGGAATCGCCCTGGCGGGTGGAGGAAGCGGCCCGCGCGCAACGGTGCTGGACTGAGATAGATGGGGGGCAGCACAGGTCCAAACAATTTCTACTCCTCTCTGCCAGGTCCTAGATCTAGGTACTCCAGGTCCTAGTTTCTCTGCGCCCTGCCACAGCGGGTAGGAACCAGTGCTGGGGGAGAAGGGGTCTGTTCCTGGGAGGATCCGGGTCAGGACTGTCCCAAGCACACCACAAATCCTGCACACAACCGATCACTTCCCTGGCCCAGGTAGGGAGCCGGTTCCCTTTGTGCGCATCCATGCACACCTGCGGCCGAGGGAATCCCTCGTCCGCACGTGGATTCCGCACAGAGCAGGGCCGGCCCGTTGCCCTGCGTCACGGGAGGCCTCCGGGAAGTGCTGTGTCGAAGCTGCTGCGAGCTGCTAAGAGGCGCACAGCACATCAGCTCCCAGTGTTGCTTGCGGCTGGCCACCGAGTGCCGCCTTCGCAGAGCCCTGAACTGCAGGCTTGGCCACCCCGCCGAGGGCCGGACCTGCTTCCGCGGCGAGCAGGCCGCCCTTCCCTCTTCGGAAGAGCGTCGCGGGCGTAAAATGAAGCCGCCGCCGTGCTGCTAACCATCTTTAGCTCTCGCGGTCATAAGGAGGCTGTGCGGATGACAGCCGGTGCTTTTAAAACCCCAGACCACAAATGAAACCGGGATGGGAAGGGAGCCTCATCCAATCTTCGCAATCATATTAGAGGAGGGCCTTACATTCACCAGGCTGACCTCTCCGGAGGTCACCCGGCATCTCCCATTTGCAATTCAAACCCAGAGACGGGCAGACTGAGGGCAACACCGGGCTCTTGATTATATCCGAGAGGTCATCATTGCTATGCACAGTCAGAGAAAGTCGCTCTCCTCTCTTAGTGCATTTTTAAATTTCCCCCATTGTCATACAGAAAAGCCACTCCTGTCTGGCAGCGGAGTGAGGCTGCAGTTGGGCTCGGCCGAAAGCCAGGCGGGGAAAGAGATGGAGGGGTAGCAAGGTCAGATCCAGGGCAGCTTCAAATTAGCCAGCTAGAAGAGGGGGGACACCACCCAGTTCTTGGGGGTCAGGAAAAGAGGCTCCCTCCCCATTCGTATTCTTTCTCTCCTGCACACGGGCAGAAATCCACTTATGAAAGCAAAACCTGTCATTAGAGAACGAAACCGAAGTTGATGCTTGGAGAAGCCGGATGGAAAGTGCTCAGGTTGGGCTAATGCATCTGTCAACAGCCGCGGTTCAAAGGTGTGCCTAGAAAACAGAGCGCGGCTACAGGAAGAAACCTTGCGGTTCGTCTCACCTTAAATGCAATAAAACCTCTCGCTGTAACATTATTTCTCCGGCGTGTCGTGCTTGATGGAGGGAAGAGGAGGAGAGAATAGACATGGTGAATGGAAGAAGAGCAAAGATTCCATCCCAGAGTACTTGAGTGGAAATGTGGAGGGTTTTCTTCCCTTTTCGACAGAAAATCACCGGGCTCAGAAGTTTCAGTGGCTGCTGAAGAGGCTAGGAAAAATGCCAGGCGTGCCAAGCAGGGGAGAAGCGGGTGGGCATTTTGAGCCCCACTGGATGGTCTGGAATTCTTGGTGGAGGTTCAGAAGAACGGGAACGATGGAAGCTCAGCTTTACGGTGAAGGGAAGAGAGAAGGACGGGGCAGAGATGAAGATGGCCGGCCACAAAGCCGTGGAGAGATCGGGGTCTGTGGTGCTGACCAGTGAGACATCCTTCCAGCTCTCAGTCCTGAAGAGCGTGTGAGCAGCCAGTGGCCGAGGACGCAGGAAAAATGGAGAACTGGTACGGGCATCCCTAGGCCAAAGGGGGCGGCGTGTGGGCAGGGCTGGAAGAAGCGCCGTGCCCTCCTTGGCTAAAGTGGGAGAGCCCTCGTTGCCCGAGGAAGCGGGGCCAGTCCTGCAAGGAAACCTTACTTCCAGGGTACCCTTCTGCCTGTATGCAGCCCTATTCCCGGCTTTTGCTCGCACGTCCACCCATGAGGCAACACAAGCAGCCCGAGGAAGCCGGAGACGAGCGCCTTGCTTTTCGCTAGAGTGGGCTGTTGGGGACCGCTGGCCCCGGCCGCGCGGCATTTGTCGCGCGGGAGTCAGGAGGGCCCACACGGCAGAACAGTGCGTGCGCTCCAGGGAGCGCTCCGCAGGCGCTTCGGAAGGCCCTCAGACGCACCGTCCCGGAGGGAGCCCCTCCATCAGGTGCCGAGCGAAAAGAACAGTGGGGCAGAGCCGCACCACCCTTTCGGCAGGACGGCGCCCATCCCAATCGGCCACGGCAAGAACTCAGAACCGGCACCTGGAGGGCTTCCTCCCGCTCCCTTCCCTGTTCTGTCTCCCTCGTGCGCCATGACTTTCAGCCCCTTCCTTTCGATCGCTTCTCTGTCTATGTCATGACTTCTAGACTGACATCCTGATCTTCCTTAAGCCTCTCTCGGAGCTTTTCTGGATAAATCCACTAATAATCTCGAATGTGAATACATTTTACCGAATGGATCATCGCTCTGACGGCATAGTATGCTCTTATAATTCCCACCCCCACCAGCATCAGAGCAGCCGGGCCGCTAGCGGACGCCTCCCCGGTCGCCCATGTTCTACCTGGAAGGTGTCTCCACAGGGGAGAACACCTGTCTGAATGTCACAAACCGGTTTCGAGCCGTGGGTCGGCCACCGCGCGGACGGCTGCGTGGGCGGCTTTCACGCCAGCCAATTCCCGCCAGACGCCCGCGGCTTTTTGTGCGCGGGAGCCGCTTTTGGGTGCTCAGCGTGCAACGCTGGAGAGGCCCAGAGACTCTTGACTTTCCACGTAGGAGAGCAAGTAAAAAGGGGGCACGGCTGAGCCACCCCCGCGAGCCGAGGCAGGCCCCCTCCGTCGGCTTCGCCTTGCCGCCGCTTCATTTTTTCATTTCCCCTTTTTTGGTACGAGGGGCACAAATCCCACATTAGACCTTAATGTATTTGGTTTTTGTCTGTGAATATTTATAACAGTGGGAAAAATCCAGGACAGCTGGTAATGCACTCTGAAGTGTGTTAACAACACAGCCCCAAACAGCTCTCTATTGATCGCATAATGCCTTTTTTTCCGGCCAAGTATTTCTTATACTTCTTCTTTTAAAATACAAACTTCAAGTACCTTTTGCTTCAAGCGGTTTTTCACCTCCTTTATTCCCATTTTTGCATGATCTTTTGCCTGTATGAAAAAGGGAGGGATGGGGGAAATTAGTTTTAAGTCAGAAATCCTTTTCTGGCTCCAGAGACAACTGGGCTTGATTTCATCCCATCAAGACCCACCTTCTCTGATTACTGAGAACAGGGAGAGAAAAAACTGGGCCATCAAGCTGAAGACATAATGGGCATAAAAACAAATACGGAGACAAGAGGTTAAAAAAACAATATTTAATGAGGGGAAAAGAGATTTTGTTTGCTCAGAATGCCCCCCTTCTAAAGCCTGGTTTCTTGTTCTGTCTCTAATTATTTTTTATCTCTGCTGTGTAGTTGCAAGGGCGAAAAGCCCAGTTGCTCGGTACAGGGCAGGATCCGGCCTTCCGCATCTCGCCAGGATGTCAGAGAGCAGTTCTTCCAGTGCCTCTTCCTACCCGGAGCATCGTTTGGTGGGAGGCAAAGCCAGTCCTGAAAGCTACTCTCATTCAGGCAGGGCTTCCACAAGAAGCCCCTCAGAATCAGCCTCAGAGAGAGACAGAAGCTATGAGCGAGCTCCACCCAAGCTGCCCCCGGTCGCCTTCTGCCCAAGCCACGTTGCCCCACACCGCGGGGAGGAAACCCACCGTCTCCGTGCCTCAGGCCCCCTGCTCCCCGAAGCCCCTCGCCCGCAGAGGGACCTCCTCAACCGGCGCCACAGCTCGCTTTGGGATCTCTCCCGTCCTCGCTGCAGCTGGAAGTCTGAGCTTCCCTGTGCCGCTTCCCCTTCAAAGGCCCACGGCTGCATTTTCCTAAACCCCCTCCCCTTCTTATTTTATTGACGTTATGCCTGGGGAGATAAAGGGTGAATGGGAACATCCACACTAGAGCAAGTCTCCCCCGCCCCTTTCTTTTGTTTCTCGCCCCAACTTAAGAACGGCCCCACTGAATGCGTCTTTTCCCACTAGGCAGCCTTTGGGGGTCCCAGACAAAGCAAACATTGGCTTTTAACTGCATCGAAATCCTGAAGGAGCGCTTACGTCCATATATGCCCGGCCGCCCCTTGAGACCAGCGGGAGAGGCCCTTCTCCGGGAACCCTCCGTGAAGGAAATTAGGAGGGTAGGTACCCGGAGGAGGGCCTTCTCTGTGGTGGCGCCCAATCTATGGAATGCGCTCCCCAGAGAGGTCCGCCTGGCGCCGTCGCTATTTGTTTTTCGGCGCCAGGTGAAGACCTTTTTATTTAAATGTCATTTTAATTGTTAACAATATTTGCTTATTTATCTGGCCAGGGCGACTTCTTTTACATTGTTATTTATTTTATATTGTTAATTTTATATTGTTATTTTTGTATTTTATTGTATTTTATTGTGTTGTAAGCCGCCCCGAGGCTTTGGCAAGGGGCGGCACAGAAATGTTTAAATAAATAAATAAATAAATAAATAAATAAATAAATAAATAAATAA